TGAATGATTTACTCATTAAAAGAAAGCATGCCTGGAGTCTTAACTGCAGAAGTAGTCCATCTTTTGATAGGTTTATACAATAAAGATGTTGCCTTTAACCTGCCGATTGATGTGCTTTGACTTTTGCCTCTAGTGGGGCTGTAGTTCCCAGATATTTGTGGATTTCATCTGTATAAAACGCATGTCTTATTATTTAAATGTGCTGAGCTTGTGTAGATGAGGGTATATATATTATTGACTATGAACATATTATTGCACTTATTGTAGTACGTATCCAACACAGCTTGGCAATGTCATGCTCATCGCCTACTCCTGGGTTTGTTTCACTGTAATGTGTCGCTGCGGACGATAATAAAGCAGTAATATGTTTTAATGAAGTAAACCCGGGAGCAGCCAGAGAAACCCAGGCTGACAGCAGTGAGAGTAAGCAGCTTGGCGTTTGCAGCTGGTAGCCGAGGCAGATGGGTGCAGAGAAAGCGAGCACGGGCCACGGTTGTAGACGGAGACGAGCCAAGTTCGAAACCAAGAGACGCAAAACGGAGCATCCAGTGAAAGAGAAGTTGGGGAGAACCGGGGTGCAGGAAACACAGCAGGAACTTGGGGTGAAGCTAGAGACAGATTTCCTGAGCTCTGCCAGACCACCGCTTATGTAGTCTTGAAACACCTGGGGCGGGCAGGTGGATAATAGCCCTCAGGTGGTACAAGACTCCTGTCGAACAATTTGCCACTGTAACCGGCACGGGATGACAATTGTTGGGTGTGGCCGGCTACCTTGTAGATACAGTACAAGCCCGGCCCACTGTGATGAGCGTGACAGGTGAGGCGTTTCATATTCTTGGAGGTTCGAACTACCTCTTTATGTGATCATTACTCACGGTCAGAGTATTCTAAATACGATGCATGAAATTACATTTAAATTCCCATTAAACACCGGGAATTCATACGCGATTTCAGAACGTGTTAAATGTGCTTCTCTAAGTGAGAAGCTGGAGGTCAAATTCTGCTGTGCTTGGACCTGTACAGTTCATGGAACTATGTTCGGTGAACATCTATAAATGTCTTGCCCCATTGCCACCTCTTAATCCTTGCTAGTGTGCATCTTAGCCTAGAATGCTCAAAGCTCTAGGTTATCCGCACAGATAAAAATAATGGCTGGCCAATCTCTTCTACAGAAGGCAGGAGACATTGGAAAGGTGTCTGGTACTAGAGGTTGACTGCGAACTTTCAGGTAAGCTCTTAAACAGACTTCAAAGTCCCTGCAGAAGCTGTTTTACCGCATTAGTCATTTTCCTTGGTCACATTAATTGGTCACATTTATAAATCTAAATATAGATTTCATCTAGTACATTTACTGTACATTTAGATACACTTTCTTAATCTTTAGGCCTGAGGCTGGGACTCATTAACACCCTGGTTTTCCAAGTTCCTGAAGGTACTGTACTGGCTGTACTGAAACCGCAGCTATAACAATAGGCCTCTCTGTCCCTCTGCTGGTGATTGGTAGCACGGAAATACTTCATTGAACACGTAGTGTATTCAATAAAAAGAGCCCTATCCCTATACAGCTTACAATACCTAATGGATTGTATGCGTTAAGCAAATAACGGGAAAAGACGTTAAGAAAAAATCTTATGTACATCAACCCATCCATCAATTTTCTAACCGCTTTATGCACTATTGGACAGTTACGTGAAATGCTTCATTTTCTACTCGGGCTGGAACTGATACTAGAAGACAAGGAGCACGAAGCCCTCCGGGAATTCAGTCAGAAACGCTTGATTGAATAGTTCCTTGTGAGACCTATTGCTTTTTTCATCTTTAATTGCTGCTTTAAAGTTAAAGAAAACCCCAAGGAGAACGGCTGAAGAAATATATTACTTAAGTGCCACTGAAGTCATTCCAAAAGCATGTCATATGTTTTGCCGTGATAGGTAAATCCCGAAACGCCGCTTGGTAGATGTAGCTCTTCGCTATTCTCTGTCTTTCCAACGCTGTGTTACTTATCGAACAGCAGAGCAGATTTTATTTATGATGATGTGCTCTTGAGCGGTGTTTGTTGTGGTCAATCCCTGCACTCAGAGTCACTGGGACACTACAGACGGGCATCAGCTACTGCAGACAGGTTCCGATAATCGGAGCGTTTTGATCAGGATCGTGACGCCACCTGTCGGCTGATTCCGGCGACGCTTTTTGCATCACAAGTAGAAATTAAAAGACATGAAACGCATTGCCGTACACATTCCTTTTTAATTATCATTATTTTTACACGTCTCTTATTACCGAAAACAATAAGAATCGAAATCTTAAGAGTAGAAAATTCTTAAGAGGTTGATATTTCATTAATTTAGAAAGCTACTGTTATCTTTTTGTATGAATTGAATGAATGAACTGCTTTACTTATTTTTCTTAGTTTCAAGGAATCGCTTGCATTGGACTGTACGGAGCATTTCAACAGTGTTCGGTTAGTGTCCAATGGGGTGTGCGACCTCAGTTACTTCTGTCCCAATATAAAGACAACACTCGTCCGTCCAGATTAACTGTAAGAAACGTGTTTCCAAAATATACTGGGCATCTAGAGAAATTCATGACTGTCCATATACTGTACAGTACGTTTTAGAGAAATAAAGTATACCGATTTTGAATTTCGATTACATGTTTGGTATCCGTTTGCTTAATTAATTAAGTGACCACGTGACCAAGATCCATACAAATATGTCATAAGCTCTAAACTAGTCAGAGGGTTGGGCACAGGTGACGAGGTGTTTTAACTTGTCCAATGTCAAACCTTGTGACAATCGAGAAACATACAGAGAGAAACCTATAGGTCCCAGCGGTCAACAAGAGAGCAGCGCCTCTGGGCCATGGGTATGTTCAAGGCTGAACTCAGTCACTTCAGGGGGGCATGCCAGTCTCTAGTGTTGAATCAAGATTAGATGTAGTCTGCCTGTTTGGTGCTTTACAGTGCTGTTGTTCAGGAAAGAGCCACACATGCTCCGTTCCACTTTGCTCGTCTGACTTCACACACCACAGAAGAAGTGGGTGTGAGAGGTGGGCTCTGATAAGACAGTCTTGCCGTGATTTATAAACTTGCTGAGAAAATAACACAAAAGCTCCCCCCCTCTGAGTTTTTACATGACCATTGTGATGCACAGTACTGCACTGAATGATACAAGCTATACCCACTTTGTGACCCTGGCACAGGAGTCATGCCAGTTGGCCACATTGCTGGTATTCGACACTTGATATGAAATAGGATCATGAGGGGAACACAGTGTGACAATCTAGGCTCCTCAGTACATGAGAGTGGGCTGACCTATATTATGTTGTGGTGTAGTAATACCGAATGAATTTTTCCTGTTCTCGGTTTACAGCAGATTCAAGATTCTCCTGATTTCATCCAAAAAGTGAGTCGGGGGACTCTGTCTAAGTGACGTACTGGCCTTTCATTCTTTGGCTGTCTGACAGGCTCTCCTGCTCTGTCCACAGAGCGAGGATCACCCCGTTTTACTGACCTCTCTCCAATGCTGAGTCTTCTGACAGCTTTTCCGTATTTCCCATTATGCGCTCGAGTTGCGAGGGCGCTCAGCTCCCCTCTCGTCTTGCGGATAGGCACCGATATTGACTTGTTTGGTGGAGCGCAGAGAATGCTCCACTGAGTCCGTCAGCTGTTTTTCCCACTTTCCATGTTGACTTGTCACAGTAGTTCAAGGGAAACTGCGTTGGTTAGGGTGTTGAGACACGACCATTATAATCCTGGTGCTGTGTGAAACTGATCAACGAATACAAAGCATTTCCTCTGTACTGTACTTTAGCTGAGAGATACTTGCGTGACACACAGAAATTAACTCTAAACAACTAAAGAAGACATGTTACCACTACAAACTTTAAACACATCCCTTAAAGCTTTTTGTTTGGTGGGGAAAATGTATTTCGGTTTAAAAACGTGTATTGTCCCATGGTGGGTTTAATGTTTTTTTTTTAGAACTACCATCAGGAAATGCAAAAAAGGTTTTGAAATTCATCTTGATGGACACTACCTCCTTCTTTCAGAGTCAATCCAGAGTGTTTTATCCACAACAACAGTGTAACCTGTTCTCAACAGCTGTCACCTGTAAGGGTCTTGCTCTGTTTGGATAGCCCAGCATTTTCGTCTTGATTAGATCTTTGCATCCTAAGGCAAGTAACCCTACCTCAGGCCTCACTGGAGATTCAGCAAAATTTGTTTTTGCAGCTCATGCTGTGGTCTCCTAGCAACTAAGCTTTCGAAGCAGGAGAGCTCGGAAACAAAACAGCCATTTCCATGGGGGAAGAGCAGCCCCTCTCCTTTCCTGAAAGAAAGCCCCCCAGTAGCGAGAGGGGCTTCTTATTAAGTTAAAAAAGTTGTAATATCAGTGCAATTAAAACATAATTAGGCTCTATCGGTGGAATTACAGCTCTCTTAAAGGGAGTACTTTGTATTATTTACAGATCTGTGCTTTCAGTTCTAAGTTGCTTCATTAGTTTCATATCTCTCCCATTTTTTGACTCAGATTGTTATAGCATGTCCTTAGAATATTTCAAATTAGGCCTTGATCCACCAGTACTGCAATACTGTAACCATCCATCACAGGAGGAATAGTGGCCAGATCCCTGTAATTCTGGACATATGACAGGTATTAGTTTCCCCTAGACAGAAAGTAAAGAATGTGTAAAAATGCATAGAAGAGCTTTTAAGTTCTCTAATTTTCTCATTTTCAGATATAAAAGGTAAAATGCACATTGTTTTTTTTCTTCGTTATCATCCTTTTCTCCTTCAAACTCTGTTTGATATTAGTATCAAACTACACATTAATTTTTTCACTCATAACTGATCAAGTGTGGATCAAGAATGGTATCAGAAACAGTGATATATAATTATATATATAACTAGATGAGAGATGTTTTGTGCAAATAAGAATGTTATGAATTAGTATTATTATAGTTCAGGTGGGTAGCTGTGAAAAGAGAAGAAAGAAAACACACAACGTTTCGGCTGTGGAGCCTTCTTCAGGTGTGAGAACGACGGGGCAGTAGGCAGAGGTAATGTAGCAGGAGAACAAGAGCTGGGAGAGAGGAGGGGCAGGAGGCGGGAGCAGGGGACAGATAGAGTGGCCAATCAGTTAGTGTGAAGTCAGGATAGGTGAAGAGAGGGGTGAAATGAAACCTACAATGAATAAAGAGAATTTAGAAGAAAATGAGTCTGTCGGTGAGTCTATATGGTGTTATGAATGGGAGTAATCTAATCTAATGGGATACAACCAAAGTGTGAAAACAAATTTTGTCACAAGGACAGGACAAACTAACTTACAGGTGATAGAACAAACATCTGAAGTGTGAAAGAAACGTCTTTCTGAGCCTGTGGACTTACTGTATGTAAGAGCTGGGAAACCCTTGCAGTTTTTATGTTCTGGAGGACAGACCCAGCGCGCTTTGCTGTCCTTATTGAGCTCAGCAAAACTGAATCTGCACAAGACTGTCCTGCCCTGATTCTTCTGAAGAGGAATTTCCCACAATGGTCCAAAGACATACTGTTAGGTTAATCAGTGTCTGGGAAAACTGGCCTGGATGTGAGTGTGATCTAGCATGTCTTCACTGATGGAATGTCTCCCCATCCTTACGATGCACAGGGGACACCTCTGCCAGTTTATACCTCTCCAGGTAATGAAAGACCAATGTGTATTGATCACTTATGCAACTATTCTAGAATGCACCAGGTGACCAAAACGATGCTCTTAAAAAATCTTGGCAAGCGATGCTTTGACAAACCATAAAATGGTGCATTATTCAAAAACCTATAGAAAAGGACTGGCTAATCATGGTGCTAGAAAGACACAATCTGGATGCAGGTCACCCTTAAATCATCCCTTTGTGAGGACTTGGAACAAATGCATTCAGATCAATTTAATAAATTATTTGGTTCACGAAATCAGGAAGGGCCATCTGTAGTAACCGAGAACTACAGGGTTTTGTCTTCATTTCAGATGTTCTCCAAACCACTTAATTGAGCCAATTGTCCGCTTAAGTGGCCAGAACTAATTTTTCCACGTAACCGCTGCTATTGAATAAACGTCTCAAATCTGGGGTTTGGTTCCATTTTGCTAGTGTTATGGAAACAAATTAAAAGAAATTCAAAATCTTACAGATGTAAAGTTTGTTTTTCTGAGATCTATCAGGAATTAACTCACCATAATTTCCTGTTATCTGTATAAATATCATGCACGAACCGCTTCTACAAACATAAGCTGAGCACTAGCTTCCTGTTCAGATGACATGGCATCTACAATCCACATTTATCTAAAAACATGCCGCTTCTACAGTGTTTGCAAATCTTCCTAATTTGACATAATCTGCAGACTTGAATAGTTTACTAACTATACTGGAATTTAAATCACCACGAATTATAAGCAGCAGTGGTCCTAGTACAGATCCCTGTGGTACACCAGTAATTACATCTCTGCAAAAAACATTTTGGAATACTGTGATTAAACATAAAAAATATACTGATGGAAAAAAGAAACGCAGCACGCGTTGTTGGACTGAAATTTCAACCTTCATTGCTGAAATAACAATAAACAAGTGAGAATAATAGGAAAACAAAACAGTACAACAACAAAAACAACAGGAAAACATTAACAACTGTGAACCTTAACAACAGCCTTCTTGCAGTCCTTCAGTATCTTGTGTGGCCGCCTCTTGCAGCCACCACTGCTCGACACCGCTGGCACATAGAGCCAATGAGCCTCTGAACCTGCAGTTGTGGGATGGTATCCCATTCCTGCAGAAGGGCCTGACGAAGCTGCTGGCCATTGGTAGGCAGAGGGTCACGTCTCCGGATGGTGCGATCCAGGGCATCCCAAAGGTGCTCCATGGGGTTAAGGTCCGGAGAGAAGGCAGGCCAAGGCATCACCTGCACACCAGCATTCCTTAGGGCAGTTCTGACCACAGCCGCTGTGTGTGGCCTGGCATTGTCCTGCTGTAGGGTCAGGTCGTGTTGCCTCACATAGGGAATGATGATCTGCTGCACGATCTCATCCCTATAACGCACCCCGTTCAGCCGGCCCTCAATGAAGTGGAGCTGCGTCCGGCCTGTATGGTGAATACCAGCCCACACCATTACTCCGGTTCCACCCTGGGGGTCAGTTTCCCGGACACAGGCATCAGCATACCTCAGTCCTCTCCTCCTCCACATTCTGGCCCTACCGTCTGTGTGGAACAGGCTGAAGAGTGACTCATCCGTGAAGAGGACCTGATGCCACTGCTGACGAGTCCATTGCAGCCTCTGTCTGGCCCAAGCCAGGCGGATGTGACGTATAGGAGGTGTGAGCAGAGGGCCCCTGACAGGTCGCCTTGTTCTAAGGCCAAAAGCATAAAGCCTGTTCCTCACTGTCCTGTCACTGATGCGGGCATTGTGTCTACTGATAGTTTCAGCAGCAGTACGGGTGGCAGGTCTGAAACGATCTCTCAGGTGGACCAGTCTGATGTGTCGGTCCTGCTCTGGTGTGGTCACCCGAGGGCGACCGGATCTTGGAAGGTCATCTGTCCTGCCGGTCTGCTGAAACCTTCTCTGCAGTCGGGACACAGTGGAGCGGCTTACTCCATAGTGTCTGGCAACGCTGGCACATAACATGCCTGCCTGCAGCATGCCAATGGCCCTCTCCCTATCCTCTGGTGACATTCGAGGCATTATGGAACGCACAGAAAACTAAGTGTGGCCTTTTTCTTGCAGTGACGTAAGCGTTGAATTAAGGCCTTTTTAAAGGTGACCTGATCAGGCAGTGTTCCATCCGGACCTCATTGAGTAAAAGTACACCGAACGAGCTTTCGTGTGATTGGCAAGTTGGAATGCCTCACTGCACACTGCACAAACTGTACTGCTGGTCAGAGCTATAACTATAGCATTCTCAGTCCGGAATGTTGCGTTTCTTTTTTCCATCAGTATACAGTTTATTTGTGATTAATATTTTAATGGCTAGTCTTAAATAATATTATGAATAGGGGGAACAATTCTTGTCTAAAATTAAAGTTTTGCGTTACTTATAAACAAACACAATTCTCAATACTACTTACCTATTTACAAATGATTTGTTGACTATAATTGTGCTAGAAAACATCTGATGTCGCGATTTGAAGAGGCTCCAACGGCTCACGAATCTAGTTTCAGTTTGTGATTTGTAGCGGTTAAAATAATTTTTACCAGCTAAGTCACGCCTGAGTAGTGTTTGTTGAATCACACGCACGTTTGCGTCAATGGTAAAGAATGGAAAAAAATATTTATCTGGGACCAAACCTAAAATTTTAAACCTCCTCAATGACTGAATGACTATCCAGCGGTATTGAAATGTGTAATTCGGCATTTAAATCGGAAACAGAAAAGACAGAAAACAGAAATGTATCACAAAGTGAAAAATTACGTCTTTATGTTTGCAAATTTAAAATCGTGAATTTCAATACAAGCATGATTCCTATGCAACCAACACATTCTAGCATTAAAGGTTCTTCGATTAAAAAACTGAGTCATATCGCTGCAATTACTAGCTATTTCTAGATGCTCAAAAGTTAATTTTAGCCATTTTCTCGCATTCTCTGAAACCACGGGACGTCTCGAACCAGCTTCCTTCAAACAGCTATGACATCATCATCACGTTCCTAGTGCAAGATGGACCCCAATGGCCCGGTTCACTACGCGTAGGTATGATAGGTGTCTATGAGGTGCCTGATGAATTTAAAAAAGAAAAACGTTGTTAGCCAAATTTAAACAGTGAATTAAATAATTTAAAAGTCTTGTGTGTAAATGATAGTATTTTATAGATAGAGAGATGTATTGTTGAACATAAGGTGAGAGGTGTCTGTGTTGTATTGGAGCAGGCCGTAAGATGAGGCACCCTCGCTCCGGTGCATTTCCATCCCCGGCATCTCCTGCGAATTGAAGCCTGTGGATGATCTGCGGCGGCTGGAGTTGGCGGACCCAAGAAAGTCTGGTTTTCGAGCTGTCACCCTTTTCAACGCCCCACCTTTAAGACCGGGAATGAGCCATCGGGTGCTTTAGCCAAGCCGCGGCCTGAAGTCCAGCTGCCGTCTCTCCCCCCCTCTCTTTCGAAGCGAGGGCCGAGGTGTCTCTGCCTGCGCTCAATGGCGACATAATCCGGCCGATTTCTGCAAAAACTCTCTGCCTGTCCCTCCGTCGTCCTCCTCCTCCTCCCCCTTCCTTAGCCTGCCTGCTGTTCTCTATCCCGGGCGTCTCCTCCACCTGTCCCCGGCAGTCCACTCTCAGCCACAGTCTCCAGCCTCCACCCCAGCCCCCCCCTCCGTTCCCTGACGCTGGTGATCTCATCTCCCGATCCCCGTCCCTCTCCGTGTCAGCCTCCCACACGAGCCCCAGTCCTCTCCCTCTCCATGATCGTTACGGTGAAGCCAGGAGGAGGGCTCCCGTTCCTTTGTCTGACGATCCGTCTAGCCGGCTCCGCCAGCCCCCGGTCGCCTCCACAGACTCTGCGCTCCCTCGCCGGGAAGGAGTCGTTCGCCGAACAGCCGGAATTATGGACTGTCACCTTGAGTCTCGGGTAGAATATTAACAAAAACATTTTTTTATTTTCGCTGCCCTTCCCCCCCGCCTCTTTTCGTATCGTTTCGGTACAGTAACGAGCAGAAAGTACAAGGAGGGACCAGGCTGAGCACCATGTCGGAGGACAACAACGTGGACAAGTTTATTAAGGTAGGTCCCCCCCACTCCGGTGTAGGACCTTAAAGGAGAACCCCGAACCAAAACAGCCACACGGAGTGTCCGGTGCTCTGCGGCAGGATGCTTTGATATTGTCAGCTGTAGCGATAAGCAGGAACAGCTTTGTTATCCACGCCGTTGCAAACTCATTAAGAACGCCAGCCTGGAACTAGTTATTAACGAAGCCCCATTGGGTGAGATCGCTCCCGACTTTCACTTTTCGAGAAGCGTTTCTCCCGCAGCGTGTTGGGAGTAAACAGAGACGCACACTTTTGCATCGCGTTTTGTCACGGTGCGCCGTGCACTTGTGGATACGGGCCCCTTTCCACAGTTTTCATTACAGATGTGCATTCGCGAAACCGTCGCCAGGAGCGCCGAGCAACAAGTTTGAGATTTTCGGTCGGACTGTGGTTTCTGTTTCGCCCTTTTTCACTGCTGTACTTGGAAGGCTTAATCTATTGGAATTGTGAGACAATTTTGTCAAGAGTGCAGTGTAGTTGCACCGCTTGTAGCAACGAATGCGTGTGTATGTGGTTCAGCTGAACTTAGAAGTTCAGTATGAAACTTGAAATATTAATTGTACCCTCGTGGTTTGTCAACGGGAAGACAGAAGCAATGCTTTCTGCACGTCTATACATTCACTACCATGGCGAATCGCGATATTTTTTAAGAAGTCATTTGGACGTTAGTAGTCTCTTAATGTCATTTATGTGTTATTTTGATACACAGATTGCCTTACACAGCTGTTATGTCAGTAAGACAACCAGGTTCCTAACCTATCGCTTTCACAGTCAGTGTACATTAAGTTTGTGATATGTGTATACACACTGCTACTTTCCAACATATTTTGCATACTGCTGGAAAAACTCTGGTTTTGTCATTTTTTAATAATTTTAGATCTCCCTTTCTGGAACTTTTTAAATGGTTTTGTCCATCAGCAAGTTGATTAATCTGATTCCGCAGAGTTAAATTAGTTCACTTAATGATCAGATTGCCCATTCCTTTTTTTATAGCTGTTCAAAGAAGTGCAGGCTATGGTGCTCTTCATATTTATTGGGAGTGAAGTCGAAATTGCTATATTTTCTGTAAATGCAAGCAGTTTGGTATGAATTAAAAGATGAATATGAGGCATATGTACAGAATGTCACCTTTTATTCCTGGGTATTTCTGTGCTTCTATCTTGTGTTGTTTTGGATGAAGAGCACTTTTTGTGTGCAATCCCCATCCAGGCGAGAGTAAGTTTTGGGACAGTGGGCTGCCTGGTGTTGGGTGTTGATCAGGTGTTTCTGTTGCACTGATTGTGCCCAGTAAAGAGCTGTGAATGTGTAGTGCTGTCTGCCTTTGTAGTCATAAGGCCTAAACTAACATGAAGACTAGAGAACTGGCTATGAAAGAAAAACAAGCAATTTGAATGCTGAAAGAAAAGAAGAATTCAGTCAGAACTCACAGGAGCACGGAAATGGGGCAAAATCAACGATTTGGAACATCTTAGGAAAAAAAAGAAACCACTTGTGTATTTAGCTGTCAGCAACAATCGGGTCGGCCAAGGAAAACAACTGCGGTTGATAGTTCGAAAAGATAGAAAACAACTGCAGTTTTCTTAACAGCTCTGAGAATTTGTCTAAAACAACTGTGGCAGAAATCGCCATCAACCTCCACGGTTCATGGCTGAACGTATCCCCAGTCTTCTGTCCTCAGGAGACTCCCACAGCTGAGTTACTGCGTAAAGGCTACCCCGCGGGGTGCGAAGGTCTGATCAGAACCATAAGTTACGATTTGTTAGAAAGTGCTTAGAGCAACGTGCTGTGGACAGCTGAGACAAAAATTAAACCTCTACCCAAGTGATGGCAAGGTGATTGTGTGGAGAAAGAACCGAACTGCAGCAGCAGCTCATCTGCAGAGCGTGGTGGAGGCAGTGTCAGGGCCTGGGACTGCATGGCCTCCTCTGGAACTGACTCGCTCTCCTTTATGGGTGATGTGACTAATGATTGCAGCAACACAATGACTTCAGACGTATACAGGAACGTCTTGTCTGCCCCTGACAAGAAAATGCCCCCAGACTCATGGGCTGGCACTGCAGCATGCAGCCAGACAATGACCCAGAACACACTGCAGATGCAACCAAGGAGTTCATCAGGTGGAAACATGTGGGAAGTCTTATGACTGGCCAAGTCAGTCTCCGGATTTAAGTCCAGTTGAACATGCCTTTCACGTGCTTCAGAACCCCCCCCAAACCAACAACCACTGAAAATGGCCACAGCAAAGGCTTGTCAAAACATCTCGAAAGAACAAACCAGGAGTTTCAGTGGGTCACAGGCTTGACTCAGTTATTGCGTGAATGCGATTTGCAACCAAATACAAAGTTTTATACTGCTCTAATTTCCTTTGTTAATTTGTCCCAATACTTATGCTCACCTGAAATGGGGGGATAGAACACTAAAAGTGGTATTAATCTAATACATTAAAGTATATATGTAGAAATATCTAGAAATAAAAGGTGACATTCTGTACTTTTGCCTCTTATTGATCAGGTATACTCAAATACAAAGTGCCTGAGTATTCAGAAAGAATAACTTTGACTTCACCATCCCAATACTTATTGAGGGCATTGTATTAATGATAGGATCTATTAATGTCCAGTGCAATGTAGAATTACATTACTGATTTTTATTAATAAGCAATATGTTATTTTCTAAACAAAACTCTTACAAAAAGTTAATTGTTTATGAATACAGGTATTAATTTGATCAGTTATTATTTGATCAGCAAGGACATATGGATTTTTGCCTTTGTCTTTCATGCAAGGAGTTTTCGTATTTTGAAATTTACAAACTCCTGAGCAGTGAGCTTCCACCTCTTTCAGATCCATACGGTTTCAGTCCTGTTTGGGTCAGGTGAGGGCCTTGGTCTGTCGGGCACATAGACTCTTTTCCTCTTTTGTAACTCTGCCTTCAGAATGACTGTCAGTGGAGTTCCTCTCCGTAGCTTGGTGATCTAATGATTAAGGTTAAGATCTTTTTATCTGGAGGTTCCCAGTTCTGTCCCTGCAGCGCATCAAATTACTCGTAGCAAGTTACTGAAATGCTGTGCTGTGTCCTTTGCATGTGTTGGTCAGTGGTTTTGCAGCTGCAGTTGTGATGCTTACAGTTTGGTATTCTCCCACTGTGGTCACCACCCATTTCATGCGTGTCAGAAAGCTGTTCACTCCTGTAAAGGGTCAGAGCAGCCCTGTTCTGGAGACAGGGGGCGTAGGGCAGGAACTCACCCTGGATGGACACGCAGAAGCACATGGGGTCATCCAGAGATGCCAGTTATCCAAGGCATTGTGACTTTGGAAGGGGGCGGGAAACGAGAGGACCCAAGGGAATCACATTAACATGCGTGATGACACAGAGATTCCATACAGAAGGCACCCAAGTCTGGAACAGGAACCCAGGACCAACGAGCTGTCAGAAAGCAATTCTAGCACACAGCCATGTCACCTGTAGGTCATCCTTAAAGACATGTGATGTTATCATCATGCACAAATGGGATGACTTCTTAATTTGCAGATCCTGTAGAAAACATCTACATCTGCCTACACGGGTATTATTGCTATAAGGAAAAGTGTTCTTGAAATACCATCAAAGTAGTCTGACTGTAAAGTTTAGGCCCAACCACGAGCTCAACCGATTTATTTTAACAGATCAGAATATTAAGGTCACAGTGAAGCCACAGCGCCGTTATATCCATATACAGGGCTTGTGATATCACATACAGTCTACTGTAATTAAGAGTGTGCACTGGATGCGGAGGCAGTTTTACAGGGAAATCACTATTAAAAAATCTTGATAAATACATATGACACGCTAACCTATTTGTTCAAAACAGTGCAGTGGGTTGTTTCAGTGATATCTTAATAATTCACTGTCTCTTAACCATTACTGGCTTACATTCACCTTTAGGGCAAACGTGTAACTGATTCATGTTCTCTGAGCTCGCTCATGTGAGAGCATGGTAGTGTGGTATCTGCCAAGTCAGTACAAGGGTCTTGTTTATGTATGTTGTTGTCAGCACTCTGGCATTGTCATTTTAATGCTAAGTATCGCCATCACAAGGACTATTGTTTAGGCGCATTGTGGTTTGACTGTGGTACCATTAAATAAAATTTGCCGCTGCTTGTGTTAGGGTAGCGACATGTGACAGCTTCAGCGCCGTTTTGATCGAGTTGTGGGAATTCCCATTTCCAGCCTTGCCTTCTGTAACATCAGCAGTTAGGAGTGGGGGCACAGGCAGGGAAATTAGTCTGATATTAAGCAGAGCACAGGCACTTACAATGCTAGCTGGATATGTCTGGATTCCCCTAGGATGGATTTCTGCCTGTTTGCCTGGATTTCAGTGGAAGATGATATATCATCTGATACCTGTCCTGTTGCCAAAAAATGAAAAATCGTCACAATTCTGGCGTGGTCTGGCTAATCCGCTGTCAGTGTCCCCTGACGGAGGGTATGAGCCGATCCCTGTGGAGACATCCAGTACACCCAACTGAGGAATTCCAGCATGATCCGCAGGCCAGGGTGGGGAGGTGATTTCTGCACCTTGAGAGAGACCCTTCCTGCCTTTCGCAGGACAGGTGGCGACGCATCAACCTGTGAACCCCTCCTCGTGTTTCCATAGTGCTGCTTCTGCGTCCACAGCGCCCAGGTGTTCTGGCGATCCAGCGGGAGCTGTCACCATTGCCACCGAGATGAGGAGCAGGACGAGCTGCTTGACTGACGTGCGAGGCGCTGGAACAGAAAAAAACACACAGGCGCAGGGTCAAGTCATGGGGTTTCACGCAGGTTTAGAAAATGAGTGAAAGTTAAAAAGACTAAAGAGAATAGTGTTTTAATCATCATCAACATCAGCATCTCTATTTAAAACTCAACCCCTGTCACTCTGCAGTAGGAGATATAAATAGGCTGTGCCCTCATACCAGGATATCTAAGGGCACACTCTTGGATCCTTGTCATTCTGATTTAAGAGGTAGGACTCTGCACTTCCAGCAGCTCCTGATTCATTTTTACAAGCTGCCACTTAAGATAATGACCCAGGGGCCAGTGGAGCCTCAGAGCAGCCAAAACCTCTCCCCCAGACTCTGCTGTGTTGCCCATTCTTGCCCTTTTCCCTGTTCTCACCTACCACATACTTGTTAAACAGTGCTGACAACTGCCCTGTAGACTGACTGTAGAGAGTCTGACCATGTGTCTTTCTGGCAGTTTTCTGTATGTCGCGCGTCTTATCCTCAGTAACTTGAAAAGCCTTGTGTTGTGCGATCAGGGGCGTACAGGAGAAACGGGATGTATGACACGGTTGGTTTTAGCTGAACGAAAGCCTTCAACACACGAGTCGAACACCGCAAAGGAGAAAAGGTTTCCTGGGTCGTCTCCAGCTGTCTGTCCAGCTGTTCATGTTCTGTATTTGAATTTCTTTGCTTAAAACACATTTACTCATCCTTACCTCCCCATACTAAGTGCAGTTATGCTTAAGCTAAAGCCTTCGGGGATGATTTAACACAGTCTTAAACTGGAAGAAGCAAGCTGACAAGAAAACTAAACCAGAATGCCTCTCGTGTTTCTCAGCCAGACTGAGAGTACAAAACGCAAAGTTGGCAATATTTTTGTGTCTCTCACTTTCTTGCCAAGTCATGTGTGTGTAAGTAAATCTCACTTAAGTCCTTAAATAGTTGTTTCTGCAGCAGTAAAAAGCCTGACAGCTTTGTTGGCTTCAAATTTTTTTGTCAATTCTTCTTATTCTTTGGAAAAGTTGAGCTTTCTGTTATAATCGTTTGTTCATATATGACTTATTGCATTTCCTGAACTGTGCATCTTCCTCACAAGATCTTCAAGCACAGCGTTTGAAGAAGTTTAATAATTTAACCTGAGTAGTATAAAGTAAAGTACTTTGTAAAGTAGGCTGCCCTCTCACTTAACAACCTTTTATCTATTTAACAAGTCCTTGAGATCTTGTTATGGTCCAGAACTAGTTCAATCTTTGTCTTTCCAAGAAAAATATCTGATCACTTTATCCCTGGGCATGCTGATCTTTTTTTTCCAAGAACACAGGATACACACCAGCACATATCTGTGTATTTTATATTCTGTATGCTCATATGTATCGAGCATCTAAAGAAAGTTATCACGTATAACCACAACACATTCACAAAATCAACTTCTTGTGGCAGGAACACTGACATTCTGCTTTATCAGATGTGACACAGGTAAACTCATCTTTCTGATTAACATTTGTCATCAACTGGATAGCCTACTGTGGAAGTCATTGGGATAGTTGCCTGTGTATTCACATGCTTAGTGTGGCTTCCAAAATATCGATAATGTAAAGACTGATGAACTGTTCCTAATGAACTCTCTCGCTAATGAGGTGAACTGGTGCTCACAGCGACAGTACAAGTAATGGTTGGTCATGAATCAGTTAATCAAAATGACCAAGATGTTTCTTTTGATTCTCACTCTAATTTCTGTGTACCGCTGTCAAAATAAAATGGCCTACAATCTCTCCATCGTCAGAAGACCATTAACTCCTGGTTAGGGCTGTGGCATGTGGGCTTAATTTACTGAAGTCTCTCCTTGCTGGGATTTTAAATACTAACTTTCTATAAGTGTGCATTTGATATTGAGAGCCCTACATAGTAGGGCTTCTACTATTCTGCTATTGTGTGGATTGCAGTATGTATACAGGTTAGCTGGCCTATTCAAACCACTGTATTGGGAAAGCAGTACTGTGACGCAGTGAAATATGGGATCCTAGAATGAGTGTTACCCAGGCAGACCAGAGACATTTAATAATGGTTGAGTGCTGCTGCTGTTTGTGCCTGTGATGGCTTGCATCCATCCTCTGTTGCGCACTGGTGACTTTAATACCCTTTGGTGTGCACTGTTGTCCATCTTGTTCCCCCTTGGTCCACTGGTAGTCGTGCCAAATTCCATTGTGCAATTCAGCACAATCTGAAGTTATTTGAATAGGCCTAACTTTGCATGTTTACTCTGTGCATTGTCCAACTTTCCTCGCGTCCCTGTGTCAGACTGCTGCACTGAGTATTTAACTGGTATTTAGGGTCAGCTGGATAAATTGGTGGTCAGTTTTAAAGGGCTTCATCCAGAGGACAGTGTCTGCCAGCGGGGAAAGAGGACTTTTCTCCCAGCAGGGCAGACCTGTGAACTCCAGATACGAGGGAACAAAGAGATGAAAGAACAAGCCTTAACTGTGGCAGAGGTGTGTCTTGCCCACGTCTGAGAGAAAGAGGCTGTCATTAGAACTTGCTTTGGGCTAATTCGTTAACTGACAGAACCAGTCACATCATTTTGTTTTTTCTTATTTGAGTTATTGTATCTCTTTGACAGGAGACTTCAATCTTAGAGGAATACAACATCAACTGGACTCAGAAACTTGGAGCTGGGATCAGCGGTCCTGTGAGGTAGGCTTTATTAGCCCGGAGTTGGCAGCTGTTTGTCCACATGGCTTGTCCCCAGCGTGGTGGAAAGGCTCCCTCTCACACAGGCCTCTGCCGCGTGGTGAGTTCACACCGCGTGGACGTGTGGTGCATCTCGCTGGAATGACACTGTGAGCTCACTTGACCAGACCACGCCTGGGCTGGGTGGGTCAGAGATCCTTTCTGAGCAGGCTGGACAGCTGGATGCCTTGCCGCTGAATCTGATTTGAGATATGTTGTTTGCATCATTTTCAAAGCCTAGAAATGCAGTTTTATGAGATTTTCAGAGCTTGGCGGAAAGCTTTTCGAGACTTCTTCGAACCAGATGAGGGCACGTGAAACCTGGCGTGACAGGCGGCTCGTGTTGGGACTGGCGGTGAGGAGGAGTGGTTAAAACTCTGAACTCGTAGCTGGAGAACTGTGGGCTCAGATCCTGGCTGGAGCACTGCACTTAAGTAATAATCGATCACCATAGGGGCCATATTTAAGAGTCTTAAAGTTCTTGATTCCTCCTGTTTAATGCTCTGACTACAGATCTGACTGGCTGGACTAGTCTTCTGTGTCCTGTGAAAGTGGTGACCATTCAGCGTGTTAGCATAGACCTTTCTGAAAATGTCCTGTTCCCTGACCAGTTTGAACTGCACCCAATTAATTGATTTTGCACAACAGAAGTTTCAGACAGTCCTTTGACAATAAAAGGTTTTCAGGCCAGAAAAACACAGCTGTCATAGTATGGGGGAAATGCACAATATGAAGAATTGTCTATTAATAGTTGAATATCAGTGGAAATTGTGTAGCATCATATTTTACACCTAATCTCCCATCATTCTATTTATGTCCAAGATTTTAAATTACTAGTATCAGTGAAAAGTCCGAAATCATAGAAATGCAGTGAAAATCCTTCTTGTGCTAGTACAGATTGTTACCATTTGTAGTACCAGCAAAACAAAAGGCTTGGTAGTCTGAATAAATGCAATTCAGCATGGAAAACAAATGGGAAATTCTACTGTACCAGAGTCGTTTTCTTGGAGCACAATTCGGGCAGTGTTCATGAAACATTTAGCACTGCCATTCTACCTCATAAGCTTCGAAATGTCACATCTTTCAGAACCAGACGTTGAAATCTCTGAAGGGAGTTCACAAACCTTTTAGCTTATGGATTTACGGTAAAATTAGAGTCATAATTGCAAATTAAAATTTAGCGTAGTGAAAACTGTTCCATAAGACCCGGAACTCTAATTGATTGTACTGAATACGATATACTTTTTACTCATTACTTGCCTTTTAGTTTCCCTCCTGCTGTGAGGAGATGGATCTTAATTGAGAGGAATGTTCTTTGCTGTCAGAATCCAGCCACAGCCTGCTCTCACCTGCCTGAGCAAATATCTGTTTCCAAGCTGTTAGAGCCTACCAGAATGATACAAGTGCAAATAGTGTGCTCAGCACCATGTTTGATTCAACAGTTGTGTGAAGTTTTTATTAACATTGAGAACACCACCATGTGTCAGTCTTTCCGTTAAGCAGATAGTAGATTTCAGCATGTCAGGCCTGTTGACAAGTGAGCTTGACAATATTAGAAGAAATTGTCATAAAGGGCACTCCTATGGCAATGAAGATTTCTTCCCTGTTTTTTCTGAAATTAACTTTCTGTAAACAGATCTTTGAAGAAGGTATAGCATGCATCTTTGAAAGGTTTTGAAGAATTTGGAACCCCTTTCCATCCCGTACTTCTACGATGTTGAGTTGCATGTTCCGGCACCTTTCAGTAAGATCTGGGGATCGTTCTGGTCGGGTCAGGGAAAGTGGTGGAAGTAGAGTTGTGCACCCTGGATCGTCAGAGAAACAACACGGAGAAACGGATTGAGAGAGGCTGGTCTCAGGTGCCTGAAACAATACCACCCAGCATCACATCGCCAAACAATTTTGCCACACTCTAGGTCCTGGAATCAGGCCAGAATATCTTCACTGTTGACCCAAAATCTGTATCGCTGGTCTGGACTGCGGCTACAATTGGAGGTCAGGATCCCAGAAGAGACGTGGTGGTTACTGGGGACGCCATTTACTGTAACACTGGAACGGAGACGCGCAGAAGGGACTGAGACGGCAGCTGTCTGCAGGCCGTGGAGCTAAGGTGACTGGCTAACTTGGGCATGCGATCACCCAGTTGTTGTCATCCATGTGTGCAGATTTTACATTGGTAAAATCTGGTAGACGGCACATGTAATATCCAGGTCAAGTTCAGATAACGTGGCAAGGAACTGGAGAACGGGACTAATTCAGTGGTTTTCTCAGGGATCCTTCCAGCTCCTGGCAGAGGTGAACAGTAACAAAGGTTCAGATGGGAAGTGAACAGTTGATGAGGATGTGGTGTGCAGAAGAAGGCTTTAGCTTTCTTGGCTGCTGGAAATCTTTCCATGATGCAGGCCTGGGTGGGTCACGTCTGAGCAACATGGGCACATGACATCACGACATCAACCCAGAAGCATTTAAACTGGAAAAGAAGGAGGGGGGGGGGACTAAAGAACTTCCAAAGGGAAGTTACAGGAGGAGAAAACACAAAGGGAATAAAAAATGAGGAACGGGTAATTAAAAGCTTATAAGTCAATGCTAGGAGTATTTGGGGAAAAAATACTGGAATTAGAAACTCCCACGCTAGCAAGTAATTATGATATAATTGCAATTACAGAAACATAGTTAACTGAAAATGTCATGAGCAGACACACACTGTTCTGGAGAGACAGAAAGGCCGAAGAGGGGAAGCTGTGGTATTGTGTATCGTTGTGTTGTGTTGTACCCGGTTGAAGAGGATACGTTGTCTTCCTTCAAGGGAGCTTCAGTGAGCTGCTACCTACCGAAGAGGCCAGATGGGTCTCTTCTGACCTCCTCTCCGAATTAGCATCGTCACCGTTCTGGTGTTCTTCTGGTTTCTTACACTCCTCACATCGGGGTACCCAACACTGAGGGGGGGTGTTTATTTGATTGAGGGACCGTGGTGTTTTGTCTAGCGAGCGTGCATGGTGCTCTGAGGTCAATACTCCCACCACTTAGCTGTCTTATGGCAGGATAATTCTATGGCATTGTAAAAAAAAAAACTGTGCATCAATAAAAATGACTATTTAGCTCAGGTGTGGGCTGTAAATGGTCTACTAGTCGTGTTTTTCTACTGTGTCTCGTGTCCTCTTCCACGCCCATTGCAAAGCTTCAGCAGCGTGGCTGAGTGCGAGGCCCACGTCCCGATGCACTTTTACCAAACTGTGAGGTGTCAAGCAGAGCGTACCAATGCTTAGATCAGCTGTGTAATGCATTTTCAATAATTATTTCATTCTTTATATCATCCCCATCGTGCCCTGATGGCTCACTGCAGCCCAAACAATTACGATCCCCCCCTACGTTGTCCCGAGCGGTGATCTGACCCCCTGTGGCCGCAGTGCTTGGCCGGCAGCTGAGGTAATGGAAGAGGGAAGATGGAAATTGCAGTAAGGTGCCAAAGCACATCTCGGATCGCCTTTGCAGCGGAACTCAAAACGAAGGTCAAACCTTGACAGCAGAACACGTGCGTTAGGAAGTGAGAAGTACGAAGCATCCTACAACCTCCACAGTCCTTCATTCGGTTACATCACAAAACAGATAAGGTCTCGAATGCTGTGCACCAACGGCAGATGAAATGGCATGAGTATTGTGTCTAACAGTGGAAATAATATTGGACATGTATTGAATATGTTGTTCAGTTATGCAGTTTTGTCGGTATCCACGCTATACTGTTGCCGCGGAGGAGCTGGCGTTATTTCCCCAGCAGGCCTTGTGACGCAGAGCCAGTTAGGATCACAGAGTCCAACACTCTTCTAAGGGAATGCCTCTACCTGATTGCACTGCTGGGGATTCTCTGACTTCCACAGGGCTCTAGTGTGCAATGAGTCTGATGACGGGTGACACGAGAGGGACTGGGGAGTTTAAGATGGGTGTTTGAGTGGTTTCCAGACCTCTGTTGCTGATAAACCTTGTCCAGAGATTAATCAAGGACATTAGTCTAGACCTTTAGAGTGTCCCTTAAAAATAACTGACTGAATTCCCCGGGCAGAGCTTCTAAATATCCGCACCTCCTCGAAGTTCTGATTATAATCAGATGTCAAGAAGCTAATATGTGCATTTAAAGCCAGAAACCACAAGACGTGTGTGAAGTATTCTTCTGCTATTCCCTTTAATTTGTTACAATTCTCCAGTTTGTTTTTTTAAGGAGTTGGCAGATTTAGAAGTGTCAAATAAGCCAACCACAGTCGTGTCCAAGAGTGTAATTCTTACCAAGTCGTTCTGCAGCCTGACACAGGAGAAACAGAAATGCAGAAGTGTCTTCTTTGGCATGTTGTGGCGCTGATCTCTCGTGTTCGTACTTGGAAGTTGGGCTGGGATTGCTGGAGCACCAGAAGGCAGATCGGGTGTCGGCAGTGACACACAAATCCCTCAGATATTTTGGCTTGGTCCAGTTTTTTTCACTGCTGTCATATACAGCAGTTCCCAGTGTACTGTACTCCCCAGATGGGCTTCTGATTTTGGTCTGGCATAAAACAGTTCTCCACAGGGTTGCACATGTATGTCTGGATCTCTGTATTCTAAATTGATTGGTTAATAGACCAGAGCAGTGGTTTTGAAGAAGGGGAATCTCCAGGAGCTAAGAAAACCTGTGATGAGGTTCCATCCTGTGGCCTGCTGCACGTGTATATATATGTATGTATGTAATAAAGAAATGGTGCACACGTTGGCAGATTTGTATAGTCTGTTGCAGCAGCTGGTCGGGAAAGGAAGACTGAAGAAACCCCAGAAAAGTGAGTGTGTGACCTGAGATGGACTGGCCTTGTACCCGTTGCTTAGCAGGATAGGCAGAGAGGCTCTTAGAAAACTGGATCACAGTGCGAGGTATAATGCTTTCTGAAGCCTGCTATATCACAGAATCCCGGGCACATTCCAGGTTCAAACCACTGACTTCAACATTATGGAGCCCAACCTGTAAGGGATACATGTCTGATTCTGCTGACAGTTCTATTCTTTTCTCCCTAGTCTTGTTCTTTTTCGAGTAGGGATCTGTGTCAGCATGCGTAGGCTACAGAGGAAGTCAAAGTTTATTCCCTGCTGAAAAGAGAAGAAAAGCAACAGCGTTTCGGATTGGAGCCTTCACAGACTTGACACCTGAAGAAGGCTCCACAGCCGAAACGTTGTGTCTTCTGTTTTCAGCAGGGAAGAAGCCTTTACTTGTTCCTTTGTTCTTCTGCAGTTGTCATTCTGTTTTCTTAATTTTTCTGTCTTTTAATTTTTCATTACTTTTCCCAGTCAGGATATCTTCTTGTACACTTGGAGAGAGAGGGATTGACACAGTAGAGCAAAAGAAAATGAAGTGTGTGTGTCTGTAATGTCATCCTAACCTTGTCCTCTGTGCACCTGTTCTGTCAGACAGGCTTTGCTTATTATAGAATAATGCGCGATCATCCACACATTGTCCTGGACGAAAAGTCTTAAGAATGAGAGCAGAGGCGTCTAAATTCAGTTCCTGGAAAGAGGTTGTGTCCTCTGTCACCCCAGCTGAGATCTCAGTAGCTTTATCAGTCTAATAGTTAAAATAAATGTATCTTAAATGTATTCTTAATGTCGGCCAGCAGTTTTTGGGACAGAAGTGACTCCTGTCCCCTTGTGGGGAGGAGCAGGGTTGGGCTACAAGATTGGAGGCTGAAGTCTACAGACCTGCGGCACCTCCTGTTAATTCATTTGCTTGAATTCAGCAAATATTTAGTTCCGTTAACTATTTTTCAAAGGCTAAAAACGCTTATATTCTCCCGCTATGACTAAATGTGAGTGATTTGAGGCTGCTTAAATTTTACAGTTAATCCCCACACAGCTATTCTTGAAATGGAGATGTTCCCCAGCTCCTGGTCAACAAAGGGTGTCAGACAGGTACAGGTACTTTGCTCTGTCAAAGTTGGTTTAGAAAGAGCAATTCACAAGAGATTGCTTTTTTATGTTAGATATGTAAAGTGTTGAAAAGGTGTAATCTTATTTATATTGCACGATACGGGCTTTGCTAACCTTGCTTTATTGATCTGGAAGTGGAGGGTGTGTGTGTGCTTCTGGGGTCTTGCCACGCTCTGTAGTAACTCTGATACTCGCCCTGAGTTTCATGTTCTAACTGTGTCCATTTTTATTAGAATCCCATCGACTGGAGAACCCTGTGTTAGGCCAGTTCTTTGGGAAGCTTTAGGTCCTGGAAATTGTCAGCAGATGCCCTGAATGACTGGGCATCATGTCCAGTCCTCCCCAGCTCTATCTCTCTTCATCCAGAGTTTAAGCCTCTGAAACTGAACTTTGATCACACCAGACTGTTCTTCAGGAAGTACTTCATTAGGTCTAATCTGAGCTTTGGAACAGAGTGTATTTTTGAATCCCAGGGGGTGGCTTATGCAAAGTAATAGCAATTGTATAACCAGTTAACATTTAATTTCAGACTCACTCTGTGGGCTTTTTATTGTTCAAGGTTTGGCCTTTTTCTAACTACTTCGCTATTAAACTGCTCTTTAGCCAGCAATGAAAGAGAAGACGAGGTACTTTCTCAGACGTAGGTGTAACAAAAGCCTGTAATTCTCTTTTAAAAGATAAGGCAGAACACCGCTTGTCCAGAATTTACGGGCTGGCAGCAGGAATCTGGATCTTTGCACTCTCATGTATACAAGTACATTATGTGGAAAGTGGGAATGATCCTAATGACACCTGAAGAAGGCTCCACGCCGGAACGTTGTGTTTTCTTTCTTATTTTTTCAGCAGGGAATAAACCTCTTACTTTTTCCATTATGTGGAAATACATGTGGCTGTCCATACATGAATGCAGCTTGTTGACAGAATTATATCATTTTCTGTTTAATATCGTTTCATGTAAGTTGTGTTTGTTGAATATCGTGGGAAATTTCAGACCATAAAAATTGGCGACAATGATAAGGTAGCCATTTTGGCCATCTTTGTGGCTGGGATGCCAGTATGATGTCGTATGATGTTGTATGATGGGAAACTCTCATCATTTCTTCAAAGTCTCCAATGGCTTTGGCTATAGAGTTTGGCTATGGAGTTTTCTCCAGTGTGGACGCGCGGTGCTCGACGTAGTGGTTTCCTGATTTTATTCCAGCCAGGCTGGGTCTCAGTTGCTTTGCAACATTAAAAACACGAAAACTGAATGATTAACAGAATGCTCGAGACAGGCAGATGTACTCTGCTTTTTAAACATTCGTAACAAAGTTTAGCCTTAATGAGTGGACGATGTCTTGTTACCCATGTTGTGATTTCACCTGGTGTTACATCAGCATAGTTTTCAACCTGAGCCCTTTACAAATCCCCCTGCCTTTTAGCAATGTTACCAATAAACTTTCTGAGCTTTTTAATTCTTCTGTCACAGCTTCTTCTTCTGCTTTTCTCTGTTACTTATTTTTTAGGAATAACTTTTTTCTGGTAATAATCCCAAAACTCCCAACTTCTGTATTGTGCTACTCTTCATGCTTGACCTTGATTCATCTCCCTGGGCCAATTTATCAAGATGATCAGTGATTAAAATTAAAATTCAACAATGGTGTCCTCCCCAGATTCACAAACATCCAGTACATTAGCTGTAATCCAGAAAAAAGTGCTGATTATGAGCAAGTGCAAGCAGAGAGAAAATGATTGATATGGACCTGATTCAAGTGTCATATTTTATAAGTGTGTCCAAGGTTTGTGTGTGTGTGTGGGTTTACTATGCCGTTAATCTCACTAGAGAAGTTCTAAAGTAAATGTGCTAAACAGATTCTAGGCTGCAGGTATTAGGGATGTGACAAGACCTGCAAAACATATAGGACTGTTCTTCACAAGTACCAGTGCTTCCTGCCTCTTTGAAGGGTTTTTTTAGAATGAGAAGCAGAACGGTCTTAATTGGCTCAGGTCAGGGCCTTGGCTGAGACGAATGTGCCTTATACTGTTGTCAAAACCACTATTTGGATCCATTTGCAGGACATAAAGCTTAATTGAGGACATTTGAGGTTTCTTTTCCTGCTAGGATTAAAGTGCTTGTTTTGAAGCAATAAAATTACTCCTTTGTACCCCATTTTCTGTCGCTGCTAAGCCATAAGATGCTCCACTCTCATGTCTAGCATGATATGGCACTTCAGCAAGATTACAGGTGTTACAGTGTGCAGCACTGGTACCTGTATGCAGGAGTGGATGGATAGCAAAACATAGGAGAGAAACGCCACAGCTGAATTGAGGTACTGTGTAAGGCATGTTGCAAATGCTTATGTAGATGAATTACAATCTTCTTGTAGGTTCTTGTGAAAAGTGAGCAATTCTGCTGTTACTGGGTGTGGTTTGATTTACATGCTATAGGTGTCTGTGTGTGTATGTGATTAACATAAACAGCAATGTGGTCAAATCCCAACATTTCAGTGGCTCATTTATTTCTGAGAATTCTCTGAGTTTATCCCAAGTGCATAAGCTTTGTTCTATTGTATGCTGCTTCTTTCCTTTGCCCAGAATATTAAAAATGGCCTCAACTTAGTGTGTTTTTCCTGCAGAACATAGTCCGATATGTGCAGTGTGTGCAGGTGCTTCGAGACCTGATTGATTCTATAGTGACCTTTCAGATCTCTGACGGTCTCTGGCTGTCTGTGCTGTAAGCACCGTCTTTAAAACAATAACAATCTCAAGGACTCAGGTCTGGCCTCTCACAAGAATGTCTCATGTCCTCTTAGCTGACGATGGACATGGGCGAAGCACCTCCTGTACACACGATACCCGTTACACATTATTGGAGCAGCTCAGTGATTGTGAGGAAATGGTTGCCCTTCTTGAAGACCTTTTCTGTTCTTTGGCGTAATTCAAGCCACAGACTCGTGAGCGTTTTCCAGACATGAGCCCAGAGATGTCTGAAGGAGGCCGCTGAGTTCAGATCCTAGGGAGGGCCTGCACAGTCAGCGTTGGGGTTTGGCGCCTCCGTGCAGCGGTGGGACCGGACGGAAATGCTGGGGTGAGAGGTCACACGGAGCTGTCTTGTGTTTCCTCAGAGTCTGCGTGAAGAAGGCGACACAGGAGCGCTTCGCGCTGAAGATCCTCATTGACCGGCCGAAGGCGCGGAATGAGGTAACTTGGGCCCCGGAGCTCGGAATGCTGGCCTCCCATTACAGAGACTGTTCTGGGAGACGTGGGGACTGCGTGCATAGTGTCTGAGATGCTTTCTGCTCTTTTCGTACTGCTTTCAGATGATGGTGGACAGCACTGCAGAATTGTGCTAAAGAACAGCAGGCCTTTAAGCTGTAGTTAAATGAAGACTGCTGCTGAGTCTTTCGGTTCAAGGGCTAATTAAGGGTTTTATAGTGATTTTGGGGGCCAGCTCACATTCAGTGCAGTGGGGAAGGTAATGTTGAAGCTATTGTCCTTATAGGTGCTGGAGGAACAGCACCTACAGATGCTTCCAGCACTAGGAGATTTGGAAAAATGCATTTTCCTGCCAGCTTTACATGATTCCAGACGTACTGGAGAATCGAGAAACAATGTCTCGAATGGGGGAACGCTGAACCTACAAATGCTTCATGTAAAAGCTCATCTGAATTTTGCTCAGATGGCGGTAGAAACACTAGGTGATCTCTCAGTTCAAGACATTTGTCAGACCCTCACTGCTTGCTCTTTGGGGAACCAAACTGAACCCAAAATGTACAAGTTCCCATGCAGTCCAAAATGGGTGTCTATCCATGTGTTGCATTACAATTGAAAGTTGTGCAGCTGAATGAAAGTTTTTGCAGCTGTGGCAAAACAGAAACGTTTTCTTACTGCCTGATCCTCATGCTCACTGCACTGGCTTTCCTGTTCTTAACAAACTTGTTTTTAACTTTTTTCCCTCCTAAATTAATTTGTTTTATCTGTGCCTGCTCTGCTTCTCCGCTGACATCATTAAGTTTGTTAATTACACGGTAGGCTGCAGGAGCTATATAACGGGATTGCTTTGTTTGTTTCATGCCAAATGAAGTTGTCGATTCAATCCCTTTAGCACATCCAGTTGACATGCCCCAATCTTGTACGGCAAGATTTTCCTTTTGAGTACCTGCGTATCCTAGGTTGTTGATACAATATTCTTCTATGTTTTATGTGCTGGCTGTTGGCATTAGGAAATAACCATTGTTCTGCGCATTATACATTCTGGGTGAATAGTGCACAGAGGGGTCGTTTGCACAGCACTTTGAGGCTCTTTCACATTTTACAGACGGTGCTCTTATATGTAAGCTGGCCACAGCTTTGGGATATTTCTGTTTGCTCATTTTAACACAGTGTTTCAACATGTGTAGATTTCTCTTGATCGCTGTAATTTGTGCAAGAGGCATAGGCCCTGACGTAGACATAGATGCGAGATTTGGTGGGTACATGTTTTTTGACAATTCTAAATTGCTAGACTATACAAATGTATTCAAATACAATATATTCATTACCGAATTGTCTGTTCCTTACATTATTCCACAAACCCAGAACCTTAGCACCCCATTTAGGTTATATAGCATTTCTGTCTCCTTCATAAAGCCACCGTTGTCACTGTCTGTTCCACACTCCCACAACCCTTAGAGCAAAGAAGTGCCTCTGTTCTCTGTTTGCAACGAGCTTCCACAGTGGGTTTTTACTTCTGACCTCTGGCTCATGTTTCACTGCTCTTTCAGTAGAAATCCACTGGGCAGACTTTGGCAGTGGTTTTGAGGATAAATGCTGAGGATCTTTGAGGATTGAGGACGTATTGAGGATGGAGACTGGCATTAACTTTGAGCTTAGTGTCAGTAAGGAAAAGTTAGAAAATGAAGGTTTTTATTCCATGTCCGTGATCATATGTCACATATGGCACTTACCACACTTTATGGCAAAATCCATCAGTGGTTGCTCATGTGATAAATGAATAAAAATATATTTAAATATATGAAACTTTGTATTTCACGATTGACTTCAAACATATTTTTCGTTATATCCTTGTGTTCGGTTGACTGACCTTAATTTGAAAGAACCACTGATGTCAGTTTCTTCCCTTTAAATGTTTGGAGACCTTAATCATATCACCTCATAGTGATATTTTGCAGACATTAAAAAGATTTAAGTCCTTGCTTCTATCCTCACAAACTCTCTTAGCCCTGAAATAACCTTATTTGTTCAAACTATCTGCCTTAAGGAGACCAAGGGTTTGAGTCCCGGAGTTTCTGCTTGGCCTGTGGTGCAGAACCTGCTGAGAGATGCACATTTTGGTGCTGAATTCAGAATAAGAAAAATATCATACATTAGAATATCAGATACACTAGAAACAGAGGTTGATATCTTGAAGGTAAAACCATCAGAAAGCACTGCAATCCATTGTGGGCGACATCAGATAGGGGACAAAAGCAGACAATAACACAGGCTTATTTAACAACAAACATTGTTCATAGCAGCAGTCTGTATAAGTAGTAATTACCAATTTTACTTTGTTTTTAACTTTCCATTTGTGTATTGTTTGCCTTTCCACAAGATTTAGAAAATGAGACGGCTAGAAAATGATTCCAGTTGTGTGAAGTAGGTCTGCTACAGCTCTCCTTGTGTTGTAACTCTCCACGATGCTGATGTCTGCAGGCCTGACACTGCTCCTCCTCCTGCTTTGCAGGTTCGGCTTCACATGATGTGTGCCGGCCACCCCAACATTGTTCAGATCCTTGAGGTGTACGCCAACAGCGTCCAGTTCCCCCACGAGTCCAGTCCCAGGTAATGACTCCCTGCATGGAGGGAAAAGGCTCTGGCAGTAACGATTTGCACTCTGTCCGACCTGTTTGCTCTTGAAGTTTTATTGACCTTTTTTTTTTTAATTCCTGAGGATCAATTGCAATTATAACAGTAGAGGATCAAAATCAATACATGTAAAGATTGCAGTGTACCCACATAATTGCAACTCTGCAGTGTGATTGACCTATTATGGTGTGTTTATGCCATAATGATGGAATATGAATCCTAAAACTCTGAAAGCAGATTTCCTTGTATTGCCCTGAATGCTTTATTTCCCTGATACCTGCTGGCTGTGAAGCTCAAGCTCATGTCTCATGCAGGAAATGAATACTGACTGAATGCCTTTGGTAGTGTGCTCTGGCTGGGGCTGGACAATGTCCCATTCTTTTCACCCCAACTTATCCAACCCCGGGCACCCCAAAGAATCCCTTTTCTCTGTGCACGCAGCTTTATTTTCATGTGGCAAGAATTCCCCGAAGGCAGCACGGTGGCACAGTGTTCAGTGTTTCTGCCTCACAGCGTTGTGGCCCTCCTGGGTTCAATCCTGTGCTGTCTGTGTGGAGCTTGTATGTTCTCTGTGTGATCGCACGGGCTTCTTCCGGGTGCTCTCGTTTCCCCCCGCAGTCCACAGACATGCTGGTGGGTTAATTGGCCCTGCTGTGTGTGTGTGTGTGTGTGTGTGTGTGTGTGTGTGTGTGTGTGTGGGCTGGTGTACCCTGCCTGGCGCCCCTTGCTTGCTGGGATAGACTCCGGCTCCCCTCTGACCCTGAATTGAATCGGATAAAGCGGTTACAGAATGGATGGATGGTTGAATTCCCCAAATTGTAATTGAAATAAATGTGTCTGCTTACTATCATGTCCTTGACGTGACCAGCCCCCAAGATAATGGATTTTCTGTTTCTCCGACATATATGCTTCCCTATGTCTTACCGACTTTAATTCAATTTGCAATCGTCCCCTTGTATGTATCATTTAACAAACAATGTTCATCACACCTACATTAACAAACACCTTTGTTTGGGGTTTTGAGCTGTGAGCTTGCGTGTCTTCGACCGTGCCAGCCCTCTGTGTGAGGGCAGCTGGGGTCTGTGGGAGGCAGGGCTCTCTACCATGTGCCCAGCTGGCCAGCAGGGGCCGTCCTTTGCAAAAGACCCCTCCCGCCCGCGCGCCCCCCGCAGCTGTCTCTCCCTGCTGGTGTCTGCTCAGGGCCCGGCTGCTGATCGTCATGGAGATGATGGAGGGAGGGGAGCTGTTCCACCGAATCAGCCAGCACAGGCACTTCACCGAGAAGATGGCCAGCCAAGTGACGGAACAGGTGGAGAGCACCGGCCCTCTATCAGTGTGGCTGCTCGTATGTGAGGGCTTGACACAGGCGCACACACTTCTCTGCTCGTTCTTTTTTCCAGCCGAATGGCACAGTTAAACATGTCTGTTGTCATGACTGTTGTGCAAGCAGGAAGTGATAGAGTCGGGAATTGAGATTTGACTGTGGCAGTACATTACAAGTAAATATCCTGCAGTCAAAAATACTACACAAGTGTTGTATGTTGCATACCTGTTTACATTAAGATAGTGCATATAATTTTGAGTGTTTTTTGAAAATATTTCTAAGTTGATTGTATAGTAGTTTACTATAGGACAGTTTTGACACCTGAAAAGCATTTTGTGTAATTAGCAGTTAGGAAAATTAATTAAGCTTTACAGTACCATTATTTTTTTAATAACAAGAGTTAATAACTTTTCAGTTGTAGTGATTCTGCTGACAGTAAGGGGATTGAACGGAGCTGTTTTGCTGCCTTAGCAGGGGAGTGTTTTAGTGTATCTTCACAGGGACACACTGTACCATCTTGCAGAGATGCGCAAGCCTGTTACATGAGCTGGCATCGTTGATTCTTCGCAGATTTATTTTTATTCTGTTTGTCTTACACTTCGGCGGTACATTGCAGCTATTTGTGTAGCGATTTACAGGCTGCACAAAGTATAATAAGTGGGTTTGTGAGATGCTATTAAAGGAGCAATTTATTAAAGAACATCGAGTACATAACAAGTAGATTTTTAAAAATCTTGACCATAAATGTGATATGATATAAAGCAGGGTGACATAAAAATGGTTTGCCCGTGCTTTTGTTTTGTGCCTATCAGATCAGCCAGGCTCTCCAGCACTGTCATTCAATGAACATCGCTCACAGAGATCTCAAGCCCGAAAACCTCCTGTTTAAGGACAATTCGCTGGTGAGTGTTAACTCTGCACTAACATCCCAAACTTTACACCATGCAGACCTGCTTTTCTGAGGGCGCTGGAGGCTAATTGTTCTCTGAACACAGCCTGCAATTCCTGGCTCTAATGGCTTCTATACTTGTTTTAAAACACACTGGTTGTCTTTTGTACATGTAATCCTCATGTTGCCTGGGGTCACTGATGGATAGAAGCTTTCGGGTCTTTCCACAGATTCTCAATAGGATTCAAGTCAAGTCTTTGACTGGGCCTCTCCTGGACATTCGCTTTTTTATTCTCAAGCCACCTCAGCCTAGCTTTGTCCTTGTGCTTCGGATCACTGTCCCACTGAAACTCCGGTTTATCTCCGTTTTAGGTCGGAAGTAGGTTTTCCTCTTCGTTTTCCTCTTTTCTCAAGCTTTGCCAGTACTTTGCTCCATCTGTGTTCCCATCTGTCTTGTCAGGCTTCCAGTCCCTGCTGATGAGAGGCAGCCCCATCCCGTAATGCTGCCACCACCTTGCTGGACAGTAGGGATGGTGTTGACTGAGTGATGCGCTGTAGTGGGTTGGTGTCAGACGTGATGTTTTGCATTTATACCAGATAAATGGTATCCATGGTATCGGTTCCAATTTTGTCTGGCCTAACCAGAAAACAGTTGCTGTTTGCAGTATGACTTAAATGATTTTATGAATAGTCCGTGCAGGATTTGAGATGGTTTTGCCACTCTGCCACACAGTCCAGCTTTGTGGAGTGACTGTGAGAATGGACATGGTTTCCCATCTCAGCTGTTGAAATCTATAACTCTTTGAAAGTCACTGCTGGCCTCACAGGTCATCTCTAACCAGTTTCCCCTTGATCTAGGCTTGGTGTCTTTCAGTTCTTAATGACCGACTTCCCCATGCTTAAAGACGTACAGGCCAGTAATGTATTTGAAATGTTTTATACCCATCTCCTGATCTGTGCCTTTTAACAACTTTATGCTGGACTTGTTTTGAAAGCTCTTTGGTCTTCATGGTTGAATCTTTGCTCTGCTGAGGGACCTTACAGAAAGGTGTGTTTTTTCCTGTATCATGTCAACCACTATTATTGCACATGGGCAGCGGCCACTCAGATAATCATTAATGCAGATTAATTTAGGTTTGCTACAGTTTTTGTAATGTACTAAGCAGGTTGTGTATATACAGTGACAAATATTAATAGCTGTTTCATGTGTGCAAGTTGACCAGCAACACAATATGAAAACTGTGACAGGGTCAGAGTACTTTAGCAAGTCACTGTGTATCCCATCGGTAGGCTTGTGCAAGTTACTATTGGATGAGGCAGCTGTACCCTGACTTCCAAGGAAGTATCCAGGCAGTTTTTTAGTATTCACCCCTTGTGACAGGTTGCCTGTCTTTGTGTACATGAGTCAGTGTCTGTTTATGAAGCCAAACTCTGTCACTTGCCTGGTAACACCCTGTTCATTAAGTCATGCTTATCACATCTTTACCATTTACCAGCCATTCATACAGCAGCAGGCCAGTGGCCTGAGGTGGAGGTGTAATTAGTTGGGCTCGAGTTGAAGAATAGGGGTCAATGACTCCTGACAGATTTGTACATGCTTTTAATTTGACTCGGTGCCAAACAGGGACAGACTTTTTAATAGCCACAACTTAAAGAGTAGGTTCGCTCCAGGCTGCCTTGGCTTATACATTTCACATTATTGATCTGACTGGTTAATTTTCCTTTTATTTTTTATGTGCCAGTAATACTTACAAGAACCACCAATTATACTGCAGTGCATTGCTTCCACATATGCCTATGTCCTGATGTTACTTAAAAGTCTCAATTTGTACTAATTTAAAAATCTGGTATCTACAGCTCTCCTTTAAGACAAACACAAGTACTATAGTTAGGACAGTCATTTATGTTCATTCTGCATACATTACTTGGTGACATGAGAATGTCACTTGTATGAATAATGAAAGTGCATGCTTTCAAATACAATTGAGATTTTGTGTCGGGAATGAAAATGTGTGATATCAGGACAAAGTCAAACACCAACTGAGGTCCAGTTTGGAGCCAAAATAGCAACAACTCAGACAGACCCTTTGTGAGATAGACTTAATACTACTTTAACGGTATTTACATGTAGAGTTTTAGCTGTGTGGATCATCAAGTCAAGTAAATGCTGCTTGGGAAAGTCTGATATTGACACCCTGCGCTGTGCAACTATGTATCATTTGGGAAAGTGCCTGTTTGCAGCACAAGGACCTTTTTCTTTTATGTCTTGATATGCACATTGTGCCAGTTCCCAGCTTTCCCTGTCTGTACTTGTGCTGACAATAACTCATGTCAGACGCTTTTGCTGCCTACAGGGCTTTTAAAATTTATAATTAACTGTATTTTTTCTTCCCATCCCACATCAGGAATGAAGAAAACATATTATTAGGAGACAAAAATAAACCTCAACTGTCAAAAGTTGACTGCTGTATCAAAAGACTGGGTGCCTTAGGAAGATTTACTGCTGGATGGAAAACCAGATGAGAGACTAAAGACAAAGCTGGCTGACTAAGGAGGGGGCAGTTTTATTAGGGCTTGTGTTTGTGTGTTTCTAGATGCTTGTAAAAAATGAGATCATTTGATGGAAAATATTAACTGTGGGCTAATGCCTAATTTCTCACTATCAATATACTGTTACTCCCCGATGTGAAGTAGTTGCATGGATTGGTCGGCGTTAGGAAATGGGTAGAGCATGCCAATACTAAATATTGTAGACTAAATGTAAATATCTGCTAGGACATGACTGAAATAATGACATTGCATTCCAACGGCCTCTGCGGAGAGCAGCGCAAGAGGCGAAAGGAATTTCGGTCATGTACCGAGTCATTCCTCCAGCTGAGGCTGTGAGGAGGGTAATGGGGTGTGGAATTGAACTGCATGGGCCGCTGGTTCCAGCAGGCTTCAGGCTGATGGAGATCTAGTGATGCTGCTGGCCAGGCAGAGGGGTGGAAGCCAGCGTAATGCTCCTCGGAGCGCCCCTGGGGCGCCTGCAACCGAGTGGGTCTTTTCGTTTGACTGGCGGTCCCTAGTATTGTGGCCAGTGAGTGCGCATATGGTGGCGTGGTCCTCTTTGCCTGAGTCAGAAACGAACTGTGGGGAAGTATCTTCAAGATTTAAAAACAATGTGGGATCCCTGGAACTGCACGTATAAAACGTCCTGGACACCTGGGCTCTGCCAGTCCAGGGTGATTACTGACTAACCTGACCTCTCCGAAATCCCTGTCTAACCATGTGCCTTAGAAAGTGTTTGTGTTGTTTGATCCTTTGTTTTAGAGCAATGAGCCAGTCCCTTATCCTTCACACAAAGGACGCTGGGTGTCTGAAACGAGTTCCTCTGCCGTGTTGTGGAAGCAGATGGCCTGGTTTTCAAGCAGTGGCCGGACGGGATCCCCAGACCAGTAACCAGGAGAGGCTAGTGTGTCTGTTCTCATGTTCTGATTTTGTCCTGTTCACAGGATGCACCTGTTAAGCTGTGCGATTTTGGATTTGCCAAAATAGACCAAGGTGACTTGATGACACCGCAGTTCACTCCATACTATGTAGCACCTCAGGTAAATCCAGAACTGCTAGAAGACCTTGTTAGAGCTCCACACTTGTTAGCAGCTGCAGTCTTGCATTAGTTAACACAGCTTCCCAGTAAAGGTACTGAGGCTCCTTATTCAGCATGTCATTTAGCCCATTGAGGTATTCCCCAATTAGATCAAAATATCTTTGAATGTTTCAGTGTAAAACCAAACGGTGGCACAAAATTCTCGAGTGTGCATTGTAATTAAGCAAGAAGAGTAGTTGTTGAAAAGTGATCGATAAGAAATAATCTTAACATGAGAAAGATATTTTGTTTGGAAGATTTGCTCTTAGGCTCCGTTGTGTTAATTAATCAAGAGTTTTTCATCCACAGGCAGTGTAGCCAAGACTTATCTTGCTGTTTAAGGGGCGTCGAGGGTCATTTGTCTTATGTTTCCATTTGAAAAATGTCTCATCCTTAAATGTAAAAAACAACGAAGGGGCTCAGGCAGCTCAGCCAGTAACGGAGCTTGTTCAGAGCTATGGTTGGACCCCATGGAGCAAGTATCAGCTCTTGAAATGTGCCGTGGACGCAGGTGCACACTGACCGAGCACAACCAGGGGTCACTGGGTGAGCTGTCCTGGGCCTGGCCTGGCCAGAGGTGCCACATGGGACACATGGGTCCTAGCCGTGACACACAGCAGACGGCTCATTTTGGAGAAGAGCACACACGTCACCTACCCCTCCCATGCTAGTGTGTGGCCAAGCTGATTCCAAAACCACCGATTACAACCCCCCGAAAAATGTGTTGTTTGCAAGGGGCTAGCAGATAAATCGGTGTGAAATGTACAGGTGTCCCACGTTTTCTGTGCTCCTGTTGAATTCTGTGTTCTCTGGTACCCTGGGGTTTCTGTTCAGTGAGCCTCAGCTTGCCTGTTTCTCTTAGCTCCACGTTTACAGCGAATCGCATTCACAACAGATCATTTCTGGTGAAAAGTAGTTAACAGTTAAAAGAAAAATCGATTCCATTTTATAGTTCTGTATGTGGTGCAGCAGACCACATCATTAGGTACAGAAGGTAAACTGGTTTCAGGCATTTCCCTAAATCCAGGCAGAAACCATGTAAATACATATATTCTGCCTGCTAAAACCTTGTACGAGACTAGTTATTTGTTGCCATTGAATAGAGACAAATGATGTTGTCTCAGTTTCATGCAACAAAGGAATTGTTTATAAATATTGGAATTCTAACGAAAGCATTGCCTGAAGACCTGGAGGATTTATGAGAGAATTGAACATAAAGCACATTCAAGCGTAACTGAAAAGCAATGAACTTGTTTAAGTGCTGCATACTTTTCTGTGTGCACCAGCACTCCCTGAGAAAGATAGCAACCTGATGCTGTCGAGGTTAAACAGTTTATTTTCCCGGAAGGCAATTAACCTACCAGTAAGGCTTTGGACTTTGGGTGGAAAGCACAGCACCCGGAGGAAATCCATGAGAACATGCAAACTCCACACAGACAATGCCCCAGGCAGCTGTGCTCCAGCACTCCCTGAGAAAGATAGCGACCTGATGCTGTGGAGGTTAAACAGTTTTGGATTTGAGCTCCTGGCCCCCATTGTTATGCTAACATTTATGGAATATTTCACAAGATCATTAAACCACTTTAGTTTTCCAAACATGAATGCCATTACAGTTCCCTCTAAAACAGCTGGGAACCTATGTCGATTGCAATTATGGAATTAATTACTTAAACCAGCTACGTACGTAAGAGCTCAGGTGAAACAAAAACCCAACGACAATGTGTCCTCGGGATCAGAGTTTGCAATTCCTGAAAGTGCTGGAATTTAGAAAGCACAAAAAAGTGCAATCTGACCAAAAAACAACTCTTAGTCACTCCGCTTAGCTCAAAGGGGTTTTCACAAGGTTCAGTCATTTCTTCACATTTTTAATGAGGTGAATTTGCCTTGGTGATGTTTCAGTCGATTCTTTCGCCTCTCTCCAGCAGATTGATATTGATCGTTACAAGAGTAACGCCACATGTTGTTTCAGGTACTGGAGGCCCAAAGGAGACATCAGAAAGAGAAGTCTGGAATAATACCTACCTCACCAACACCGTACACTTACAACAAGGTGAGCTCTCCCTGGCACTGCCCAGCCAAGACACACTGGATCTGAAATTAGAGTATTCAGTTTGCTAATGAGCAAACTGACCCTGTTCACAGGGTCGTTAAAGCACACCTTGCTGTTGCTGTTATAATGTAGTAGTCATAACAATAAACTTTATATTACTGTATATATAGCTCCTGTATAAGTCTGTTGAAATGTTTGGTCAATACGTGCCTCTCCCAACATGTTCTATTGACCGAGCTCAGAAGAAAATAACTGCTTGTGACATTAATAGAAGACGTATTGAATGGGAATTAAATGTTGCACAAAGAACAGCTGTGGATGGGCTAAGATGCTCAGAATGGAAAAATTGGCCGTATATATGCTTCATTGTCTTGGCTCTTATGTGCATCAGTGAAAGGTTCCTTCATTGCACAATTTGACTGGATGACTGGGCGCAGCCAGTTCCTCTCAGCAGTTAACTACAGTGCTGTCCCTCTTTCTCACACTGACTGCTCTAATAATGGTCTCAGTGTACTCAGCTTATTCTAGGAGGGCAATGAAACTGGCCATGCATACGACACTCAAAAGCTGAAGAATATTTTGTATTTCTGTTTGTTTCTGCATCTGAACATTGTTATTAAAAAGTTTAGATTGTACCGGATTGCAACCGGAAGTTCACAAAACTGTCCAGTTTGCATTCAGTTATGCTGGCGTCACACTACACGACTTTTCCTAGGATTTTCAGTTGTCGCTCGTAAAAAAATCACAGCGAGTTGTAGAGAGTCGCAGCGCGCGCCCGTTACCGTCAGTTGTGTAGTGTGACACCCCCAGTGACTCAGTCATAGCACTCTTAACAGCCCCTACAACTCTCTGCGACTCGCTATGATAAAATCAAACAGGTTTGATAGCAAGATAACGAGTCCTATAGCATGACAAAGCAAAGGCTTTAGAGTCCGTATTCCAATACTTTTTTATTATTCTGCTTTGGTTCTTTTCTGTGCTGCTTTGTTTGACTTAACAGTATTCAGTGGGACCAGTGAGATTTTTCCAGTTATCCCACCCAGAGGACAGTAGCAACATGTGACGAGCACTTGCCTGCACTGTGTCAATATAAGTCTTCTTCCCTGTTTCCCATTCGTCTGGATTCCCCGGGAAGAGCTGTGACTTGTGGTCTCTGGGGGTGATCATCTACGTGATGCTGTGTGGGTACCCTCCCTTCTACTCCAAGCACCACAGCCGGACCATCCCCAAGGACATGCGCAAGAAGATCATGACGGGCAGCTTCGACTTCCCCGAGGAGGAGTGGAGCCAGATCTCCGAGATGGCCAAGGACATCGTCAGAAAGTGAGCTTGGCTGTCTCGCCTGGGAAATACATCCCAGGGCAGAATCCAGAGCAGGGGGCTGAGTCAGAACACAGTTGAGCTTAATCAGTCCAGATGCTGGTGTCTTTTGGAGCCCGGCTTTCACTTTTTTTAAAGACCTTTTCATTCTTCACTTGCAGTTTGATGAAATTGAATGTCGTGTCGTATGTCCCTGTAGTGACGTAACATGTTCGTTCATGTTAAGCAGGCTCAACTCAAAGCGGGCGATGTAAAAAAAACTCTGCAATAATGTTCATCCTAAGCTTTGTACTATTAAATACATTTCACCTCGTCCGTCCCAGTACAACGACAGCGCGAGGAACATAATGTATTCATTCACATTAAACAGGATTGATTCAAAGTGGGCAAAGCAAACTAAATAAGGTAAACCTGGTAATACCTCAAAGCTTTATACTATTAAATATTTTGTCTTTCCGTGTACAAAATAAACTGTAGATAAACAAATCTTCACCAGTCGTAATGGGGTCACAAAATAATATCTTTATGTCCAAACCTCATACCTAGAACACATATGAATCTAAAGTAGCCTAATTAAATTAGGATTTTACATCAAATAAAACTGTAAAAAAAGTTTGATTTTACTAATGTGAATATTTTCTTGTCCAGTGCAACTTCTTCCCACTTTGATAATTTTGTGGACAGCTGGAACGGGGCTAAATGTTTTGCTGAAACCAAATCTGACACAAAATAGGCTCTCTCATTTCTCTGGGGGTTGGGGATCTATTTTAATGTTAAATTTGATTACATAGCTGTATAGCCTTGAATGGTTTCAGTTCTGTTTGAATTGAATCACTGCCTTGTAGTTGTGCTCTTGGTTTTGAGTTACAAGCAGTGTAAAGAGTTAAGCGCTCCAGGATAGCTATCAGGCTTAAATAAGGACTTCGATACAGACTTGCAAATTTGAAGACTGGTACTTTTGCGTCTCACATGCACATAAACCTCAAAAGTGTACAAGTCCAATTATAATACTTCTCGACAACGATTCTCTTCTGGCTTTGACTTCTCATGTTACCCGTTTCAGCTGAATGAGCTGTGTTGTACACTGGGACGTGCCCAGACACACATTTTGAGAGGCAATTCAATCTGAGGGCTGTGATGTAGGCAGTGTCTGGGCCCTTCGTTTTTAGCACTGATATTGATTTTGCTAAGAGTTAGAGCCATTGAGGACAGTGTGGCACCTTTACTGCAAAGCGATGTCTGAACTGGGGTCTGTGATCATGTACTGTTAGGAGACATCTCATGAATCCACTGCTGCTTCCTGACAGCAGTGCTTGTCTTTCAGTGGCAAGGTCGATCTGGGCTTCTGATGTGCTAGGTAAGTAGGTAAGAAAAGTGGGCTTGATAGATTCAGCTTGCTGGCAAGTTAGTGTCACTGAGTCGTGGCGTCGGGTTCGTGATATTGAAAGGGAGGTCTGCAGTGTGTGATGGATGCTCTGCTTCCGAGCTGGCATTCCCAGGAGCTGCCCCTTGTGTTTTGAGGCAAGGTCTCCAGCTCACAGTGTGATGGATGCACAGTGTGACGGCCCGCAGTGTGATCGGTGTTGGCTGTGCCTCTCCAGGCTGCTGAAAGTGAAGCCGGAGGAGAGGCTGACAATCGAGGGGGTGCTGGCCCATCCCTGGCTCAACTGCACAGAGGCCCTGGACAACGTGTTGCCGTCTGCCCAGATGATGATGGACAAGGTGGGTCTCTGCCGTTTTCCTCTCCTCCGCCTGTCGTGGGCCTGCTGCTGTACTGGGGTAAAGCCTGCTGGGATCTTCCTGAATCGAAAACACTGCAGAGACACAAGGAATTGTTGTTATTTAGTGGCTTCTGGAGCACTGCAGTGTTTTCTGACTTGACTTCAGAGTAAATATTTTACATAAAACCGCTTCCCCTAGGAATATTAAGCGTGGTAGCGCGAGAGGCTGAGGAATCGTGTCTGAAAACATGACAGGCTCCCTAATTATCTGGCAAGTAGAAGTCAAACTAGCAATATATTTTTTAACAAAATGAAAAAAATGTACATTAGAACTTGAACTTGAACTAGCAGGCAGGCGTGTGGCAGGTAGTTCCATGAATACACTGCAGTAACCATGGCCTGCCACTAGTGGCCACTGACAACCTCAAAGACATTCATGTAACAGTTTGCTCTGTGTGGGGTGCTAACTGAGCTGTCCTCCCGTTGCAGGCAGTAGTTGCTGGTATACAGCAAGCTCACGCAGAACAGCTGGCTAACATGAGAATACAGGATCTCAATGTCAGTTTGAAGCCCCTCAACTCCGTCAATAACCCCATCCTGAGGAAACGAAAACTGCTGGGGTGAGTACTGCCCTCTCCTGGCCCGCTTCTGTAAAAACACTGCGCGGTTACTCCCTGGTTCTGAAACGACTTGTGTTCGAGTATCTGTATGAATGCGTGGACATGTTTTTATACATGACAAGAAAACTTGATAACGGATGAATGGAACACCTTCTCACAATTAATGAAAATGTCAGATGTATTTTGTGATTGTGTTGTATTTTCCGTTATTACAATATTCCGTTTGGATATACTGTATACAGTACAGTGATTAGAGTAAAAAAGTACCCTCTTTCTGTGTGCCAGTGCTCTAAATAACATGGGTTCCTTAAAGTAATGCTTGTTTGATATTCCTTCAAAAAATCATATTTGAAAATGATAATAAGTGGTCTTTTAGAAAATCAACAGCATTCTTCTATGGTTTTTTCTTCATGGCTGAATTTCATGCTGTCCTAGCAGAAGTGGTTGTTATGGTAAAGATAGATAGATTTCCTGTGAGGGAAATTGCAGAATTAAGTATTGTTTTAGAAGATGCGGGTTTTCAAATACAGTAAACCCTCAGGTTTAATGGACTGACAATGGGCAGGAGATGTCCCTTAAATCATAAATGTCCTTTTAATCCCAAGTCCACTGAAGGGGAGCCCGATACGGCGCAGGTTTACTGTACGCGTCTCGTGACATCAGCCCCTGTGAGCAGCAGCCTGCGGGGGAGACGTGCAGGTGTGATGGGGAGCTCTGGGGCGGCGAGCAAGCTTTGACTTGAGCACCTTCTCCAGCGGGATGCGATTTTGAGAAACTGCGCTTTCTTCAGCGCCGTTTGGTCATGAGCCCACAATTGCCTTTCAGCACGAGGCCGAAAGACAGTTTCTTCATCCACGACCCGGAGAACGGAGGGGAGGACTCTAACGTGGCCCTGGAGAAGCTGCGGGACGTGATCGCCCAGTGCATTCTTCCACAGGCAGGTGAGGAAGGGCCCGGAGGCACGGCTCTCCCGATCCGTCCGCTACGCTTACCCCATCGCTGAGGCGGTCAGTCTGGTCCTCTGGGTTTCATTCACCCTCGGCTTTCAGTTACTTCAAACAGTATTGCAAACAAGAGAAAGCCTTTCAGCCCATTTAGTCTGTTGAAGCCCATTGATTCAGAATCCTGCCATTTCTTTCAGGATTCCTCAGAGCTAGGTTAAACAATATAGCTAAGGACTTTGTTCCAGACCCCCGAGACTCTGTATAAAGAAGCGTTTCCTGTATTCTGTCCCTAGTGCTCCATAAATATTTCACTTGGTCTATACTGTGTATTGTTTTTGGCCTTGACCGTTTCCCCTTGGTAGACATGGTCTGTACTTTTATGGATTTTTGACTTCCTGAATCAAAGACTCACCTGGTCTTCTGGTCTGAGATGAGGTCTGCTCAAAAAATGAGTCTTGTTGTTTTCCCTGCTTCTGCCTGTAGAGCAATAATGAATAATGTTGTAGTATTCTGACCAAACACTCTATAGTGTCATAATTAATTTAGGAGTATGGAGTATTATGAGTAGTATTATGTTTTCACTTTGACATTATATAGTGTTATAGAGTGTTTTATGTCGATCAATGACAAGAAAATCCCAATTAAATACATTAAGATTCCATATTGTAACAATGAATTGCTAAAAGGTCCAACGGCAGTGAATACTTTTGATAGATTTTGTACCTCCTCTTTCTTTTAGGCTTAACACAGTGCTCTCCGAGTGAGCTGCAGTAAACACTGAGTCTACAGTGAGCTGTAGTCTACAGTGCTAAACTATATCCAGCAGGAGCCACTACTGACAAATTCTGCTGATATTGTTCTGGATTGTTAGCAGGGCTGCCCTGAGCGGCACATCCAGTTTGGAACACGTTCCCTGTTCCTTCTGAGAAGAGGTAGTTAGTGTCTTCGGTCTCTGGTGTTGCCTGCAGGAGAGAACGAGGATGAGAAGCTGAACGAGGTGATGCACGAAGCCTGGCGCTTCAACCGGGAATGTAAACTCCTGAGGGACGGGCTGCAGGGCCTCAGCTGGAACGGTAATGTTCTGCTTCCGATGCTGTGCTCTTTGATTTCGAATCCTACCGCTTTGTGACAAATCACACAAGATAAGATATGTATTATTGGCCATATACAATTTCTTTTAGTAGGAATTTTGTCTTTTTGCATACCCCAACTTGAGCTCTGACCCCCAGCTTCTCTCCCTGTCTGTGTGTACAGCAAGCCGGAGGAATGGGGCAAACCTGACTCTTCTTTTGTGTTTCAGGGAGGACTTTCTCAGACAAGGTGGATCGCTTGAAGCTGGCTGAAATAGTGAAACAGGTCATAGAGGAAAAAACAAATTTGCAGGACTCTCAATAGCAAGTGCTGTTATTTTTTATTTTCCCTTTATTTTGTTTTGTATAACTGTTCTTAAAATAACTTGTAAAGAGTAATTTTTATGTAAATGAAGTACAAGACTTGAGGAATTTTTTTCAGACTTGCTTGGAAATTACTGTACAGCTGCAGATAAAAACAAAGGACTTGTTGGTACTGTAATATTTTTTACAATTAACAATGGAGTACGTAGCGTAACAAAGCCTATATTTTCATTTCGCAAAAAAAAAGAAAAAGACAAAAAATGAGTACCCAGTGGAAGGGAATTCATACATTTTAAAGCTGCTTGTCAGGAATGTCAGTAGTGGTGCTTATTATTTTATTTTTGATTTTATGAATGCTCTTTATTTATTTAAAAAGTCCTTTACTTGCTACCACGAGCATCCACAGCCTGACACTTGGATCATAAAAAGTCCCACAGTTTGTAAACTGGCCTCCCTGCAGTTTCTTCCTTTTAGTCTGTGTGATTGTCTTTTTGATTTTTTAAATGTGTTTCATTTGCACCTCATCTTGCTTAAATTAAGCATTTTAAGTTAAGCATTTTCTACAGAGAACTGGATGACATTGAGGGCTTCTCCACTGACATCTGCTACAGGAGTTTGAATTGGGCACAGGTTCTTGTGCTTCATTGCAACTTAAGTCATGAAAAAAACTTGTGGGGTGCAGGGCACACAGAACCCAAGGGACTCCAAAATTATTGGTTGCACTAATGCTGCAGTTTTCAAAATGGTGTACCCATGCAGATTCTCTTTAATTCTGTTGTTGGGGTCCTTCTGTGGCCTCTGAAGATGCTTGAGTAACAACCAGTTTGGCTCCCTGCATGCTTTAGGTTCCTCCCTACTGTACCACTCTGGAAACACTGCATGTTCTCTGGCAAAGCTCCAGGAGCTGTGGTTGTGGCCAAAGCAGCCTTGGCCCAGCTGAAGCTCACCCACCTCCGCCAGTATGAGCCCATGACACAGCTCAACCAGGCTGAGTCTGCTTGAGAGGTCTCAGGCTCGCAAGGGGTATTTTAAAAAAGATCTACTTAATGTTCCCGAAGCTTGCTCTACTCTGGGGATCACAGTTGGGAATCCTAGCTTTGGAGGCCTTCCCATGCTCTCATACAGTCAGACTATTCCCGCTGGAAGAGTCCCAGAGTCTGGGGATCAGAGCTGACGGTGCCAGGCAGTGCCAATCGGCAAAACCATCAAGCTCAGCAGGATTGTCTGATTCCCACAGAGCCCAGGAACCATAAACAGGCAACCGTTTCATGCCACTGTTGGAAGACAGTTAACAGAGTGCAAGAGCATGAACTAGGCAGCTCTGTTTGTTCTGTGATAGCGCCTCCTTCTGGGCATCTGTGTTGAATTGGATGGAGCTGCAACTGTCCTGCACCTGGGGCTGGGGCTGGGGCTCTGCAGCTTCCATGTGGGAACTGCGGTCATGAGAAGTACAGTATGTGTCCTAACGGGACACAGCTCTGTGGATGGAGCTCTTTGGCTGTTGCTAAAGCACAGCAGGGTGTCAAACTGTAGGCAAGTCAGCATCTCTGAGCCAAGGCAGAAATTACAGGAATTTGATTTCATTCCACTATCTTCTTGATTGATCTTGTATATTTCATTTTATTCTTATCTACAGTTTTGTAATCAATTTCAAGACATGATGAAGACACCTTCTGATCCTGCATGGTTTTGTCCGATAGATATCTCAATATATAGCACTTTGCTCCATATGGTGGAGGGGTGTCAGTCTGAACAGGCATGCTAGGCCAGTGTCGTACTCAGTGGGTCTTTCGACATCATAATCTCCCCAGTCCTGTTTTCAGGATTGGAAACCCATAAGAAAGCTGCTAATTTATGTCCCATTTTGAGGTGGTTTAGTTTTCTGAACTAATTACTCCCCCTGTGGAGAAAAATACAGTAAGTGAAATATGGAGGGGAAAATTCCTGTCTGTATCTGTTCACAACATGTGTAAGAAAAGGCAGGCTAATACTGTAGCATTTTCTTATAGTTCCTGATCTATTACATTGACTACATTGACTTTCGCAATTGACTGACATTGTGAAAAATACATTTTGTTTTAAGAGTATTTTAAAACCTGGATCTCCGCTTTGTTTTTGCAGGGACAAATGCAATAGCCAGATTGCTTTTTTATTGTGTTCCTTCCAGGCATATATTAAATAAACAGGCCCTTTCAGGTGTGTCTGAGGGAGGCAATGTGGAACTGCTCTCAACCTTTCTAAGGAAAAAAAATGTATTTTCCATTTCAGTATTAAAAAGATCAAATAAACAATGATTTTAGCAAACTTACACAGATATACCAGTCGATGAAAGGAGTTTTTAATGCTATTAGTTGTGTTTCTTATTGCTGTACTACATTGATTTAGAACAAGCTTTGAAGTCCATCCTGTTATACTAATTTGCTCTGGTGTGGAATGAGTACATTACTGAGGCATTTTAACAGAAGTAATGAGCAAAAACCGTGCTATTTCAGTCTTTCCATGGCAGCATTGTTCTCAGATAAGTTAAAGTTTTTAGTAGCACAAAACACTTGAGAAGATCTGCTTTCAGATGCATAAAACGAAGTAGGTGTGCAGGAAGGCCCAGCGCCGGTCCTGGAGGGTCAGTCTGTCTGCAGGGCTGCTGTCCAGCTCGGCTCTTAGTGGCCTAAATCAGCCTGTTAAATGCTTATTTGGACCAATTAACCAACTGCTCCCAGCTCTTAGGTGCTGAGACCTGAAAAACCTGGAGACGTGGGCCACCCCCCATGAGATTAGCCACCCCCAGCAAAACTGGGTCAACTAAAGCAGCCATGGTGAAGTACCTCCCTCCAGAAGTCAACAGCGTTGCCCTCTGTTCTGACCCCTCCTCCTCTGTCCCTTTGAAAACCCTCCCAGAAATGACCACAGCTTCCGACTGCCATGGGAACCCACTTGAAAATTCCCTGAAAATGTCCAGTGTTTTTCTTCGTACTCCTGGTTTTTCACAGGTCGTCTTTTAAGGGTGTAGCATAACAGCCGTGACTGGAATAAAGGAGTGTGAGCATCTCGCTTTCTCCTTTGGTGCCCGACATAAGGCTGTCCAGGGTCGCTGCAGTCTGTGTTGCCTCGGAGAAAGAGGCATGTCACAGGGCCAGAGCCAAAACACAGAGGGAGCCCAGAGAGGCGTTCAGCACTTACAGCTCTGTTTTTCACCACAAGTGGGAAAACTGTGGTTACAGTTCGGATGGAAGAAGCATGTTGGATGAATTCATTTCATGTTACTGTATTGTTCTCTCAATTGCCACTTTTGTATTTAAGTTGCATTGCAACCATCTCCTCTGGTTGTCATGAATATGCTGAATATTTATATTAAAATGATTCTTTACAGCAGTCCTCTGTGTTGTGCAGACCTTTTGATTTCCCGGGGATAATGTGGTTCCACAGGTGCAGCGTGGAGAGAGACTTTGTGTTTGTGTTCAGTGGGTCACGGTGAGATTTTACATGATTTTCTCTGCAGCCATTTGGAAGTTATCTGGATTCTTTGGATGTTGACGTCTGCGAACATTGGCCCTCTCATATGAGTGTGTGTGCACTGTGATGGACTGGCGTCCTGTCCAGAGTGTATCCTGCCCTGCGCCTCTTGCTCGCTGGGATAGGGCCCGGCTCTCCTGCGACCCTGAATTGGATAAAGTGGTTAGAAAAGGGATGGGATGGAAAGAAAAAAATGAAAATGCAACTTGAGAAGAAGATGCTTTCCTGGAAAGGTGCTGTTAAAAAAAAAACTTTCTGATGGCTGCACTTTAAATAGATTTTATTTTTACATTTTATATATGGTTGGCTAGTATTGAATCTGCATCTTCTGAGACTAGAATTTGCTTTGGTTCAAAGTATAACTCACATGGTAAGATAAAAGTGAATTCAGTGGTGGAGAAGCATCTGATTTAAAAAAAACTGCACAATCTCTTCAAAGGGTTTAGCAATAATTGCTCTCACTGTTTACTCTAAAGAAAACCCACTGGGCTGACTGTCGTCGGTGCCTTTGTGGATTTTGTAATTAAGTTAATACAGAAGCCTGAAATGCTGCACTTAGGCCGATTGACCTGCAACTGGATTGAGACTGTTCTTTATCGGGGATAGGTGCCATCAGTGAAACGCTTCAAGCGGCCCTGGGCATGTACCTCTCGGATTTTGAGCGCTGCGCCTTTAAGGGCGTGACGTACTGCAGCCGCGTTGACCCGGAAAGAGTTGGGACGAGGTGGGCGGTCGTGTGGGTTACGTCAGTGTTGTTTTGACGAGTGTTGGAAGAGTCTTGTGTCGCTGTACTTCGTCTGGGGAAGGGCTTTTCAGTCCTGTTTTGTGTCGGTTATTTATTTTTTTTATTTTATCCCGTATTGTTTTTTTTTTCCCGTCTGGGTTTGGGAGGTATTCACCTTTAACATATGAGTGTGTCGTTGGTGGTGATCCGTCTGGAGCTTGCGGACGACTCACGGCTGCCAGAAGGTTTCCAGTACTGCGCTGGTGAGCGTCTCTCCCGCATTCTCGTCCGCGAAGCCTGCGCTCCCACCGACACGTCGTGCGTGGCGGGGAGACGGGGGAGCGACACGCCGGGCAAGTCGCTGCCAGCCACTGGCACGTCTTCGTGAAACTCAGGGCAGTGCAAGTCGCCGTGCCGTGCACTGTTCCTAAGCAACAGACGGCTCAGGATTTCAATTACAAATCGCCGGGACCAGATCACGTAATTTTACTGCAGGCTGGTGTTTTCTAGACCATGCACGGAGTCCTTCGGACCCTGGAATACTGCATATGAAAACTGCAGTTTGCAGTGACGAATGAGCTTTGGCTTGATGATGGATCCCGCACCAGCGAGCTGTAGCTGCTCGCACGGCAGGTTTAAGGTCGTCTAGGGCTTTTTAGTCATCTTGAAAGTGCTGTTATGGTTTTTTTTAGAGCCTCTCTAGGGAAGCTTCGCGGGTTTGGTGTCTATTTTTCTGCTTCTCGTTCATGAGCGGTGTGCTCATGAGTGACAATATACGTGGCTTTTAAGTTTCCCTGAGTTGCTTGTTCATCTGTCCTTCCGGATCTGAGAACGAGAGAGTTAATGATTTGGTTCCAGGTTCCTGAATCTGGAATGTCAAGCAGTGGTTTGGCTGTCGACAGATCCCACTGATTCTGGAACACAGATAATACGTTTTACATGGCGAGCGGTAATTTATGTTGCCACTGTGCAGGTATTGAGCAGCTGTCATCGGGATATTCGTGTATGTCTGTAGCGCAGACATTAAAAATTGAATTAGCTTTTCTTAGCTGGGTTTCTAACAGGAGGTCAGAAAATCATCACTTCTTGAAGACCTGGAACAATGTAGTCATGATCCATTAAGAAGGTGGCTTGTTAAATTAAGTAATTTAGAGGACATTAAGTTTTTGTTTGAGTTAAGTTAAACTAATTTGTTTAAATGAAGTTCCTTTAAACACATTATTCATCAGTGTATTACACATATTCTTCTAAAGTAAAAGATTTCAGGACCTTTTATATGACTGAAATGATGGATGCAGTCCAGTTCTATGACCAAGTGGATGGTTTGGGGTGACATAGTTAAAGTTTTTTTTAAACTGCACAGTATTAAGTGTATAGAGACATTTATGAGCTGTAACAGACTGCTTGTGTGCTGCGTGTAGAACTTGTTGGCTGAATGATCATGCTAAAACCACATACCACTGCGCGTCTTAAAGATTGGTTCTGCTGCCCCATACAGTTAACGCACGTGGCAGCGTGTGATTGAGTGATTGGCATGCTTGGTGTTGTATTGCCATTTTTGCTCCACCTGTGAATAACGATGCACTCCGAAAGTGCTCAGACCAGCGTTGTCTGAATTTCCATCCGTCCATTTTCTCACCACACCATCTAATTCGGTGCGGAGGGGAGCCGGAGTCTGTCCCAGCAAGCAACTGGCAGAACGCAGGTACAGCCTGGGTGGGACGCCAGGGCAGACAGCTACACTCACACCAGGGCCAATTTTCCCAGAAGCCAAATAACCTACCAGTATGTCTTGGGACTGTGGGTGGAGACCCGCACAAACACGGAAAGAACATACAAACTCCACGCAAATAACGCTCCAGGTCCAGAAGTGAACCCATCTCGCCAGCGCTGAGAGGCAGCAGTGCTAGCCACTGCATCACCTTGCCACCTTGTCTGAATGATTTTTCCCAGTGCTGTGTCTCGGGGTTGTATTATCTTCTGATTTTCTTTCCGTCTGAGCTTTCTCGTTCTTCATTGAAAAACCTTTTTCGAGTCTAGATGTTTTTTTGCTTCCAGCTTTTAAGTCATGGGGGATTTCGTGGTGAAGTTGCACTTCTCAGCAAGAACATAAGGAAGAAAAGGAGGCCAACTGGTGCATCTCGTTCTTTTGGGTGTCAGAAGCTTAATGATCCAAGAATGCCATTAAACTACTGGTTTAGGATTCCACAGAAAACTGCAGAATAGTGTCGCTATACATGCAGCTGGGTGATCTTTGTCTCTGTGAGCTTCTAGCTATATTATATGTATCTTGACATTTAAATCTTTTCTTATCTGAGACTTGAAAGGATAGTACACAGGTTTTCACAGTGAGAATTCTAAATGTAAGTCGTGTACGTAAAAATACAGAATCTTTTAACTGACAGTTTAAGTTTATAGTAGCCAAATAGTTAATCATTTTTTAAAAGCATTTGTAATGAGGCTCAACCAGGAGTCAGAGCAGCTCTGGAGCTGGAGCTGGGGTCGCTGATCAGTTCTGGGGTTCCTGACCTACAGAAGTCTTCATTTGTAAAAATAAATACTTTAGTGTTTGTGTTATGGAGTGAGGTGGGCAGAGAAGTGATTTCTGCCTTACTATGCCTAAAAGTCAATAAATAAAATGATTAAATTACGTAGTCAACATATAATTGTCAAATCAATAGTCAGCTAAACAAATCAGTAGTCAGCCCTTAACAAGTTAAATATTGGAATGTAATTTACGAGACTTTAAAATAAATTGAATTTAAAAGGCTCCCTGTTAGTTAAAGGATCATACAGCTGTGCAGTCTAGCTGTCTATGAGCACATGACTTCTGCAATTCCCACTTTCTGCTTTGGGCCACAACCCCGTGGCTGCTTGGCTTCTGTCTGTGACCCCTGTCCTGGTCCCTGTTCTCGTCTTTCTGACCTCTGTCTTTTGTAGTGTAGTGACCAACACAAAATTAAGCTAATTGCTTGTCGGGTTAAGGTTCCAATTAAGAAACTGAGAGCAGAGCTGTATGGAAGCCCTGGAGGTTTTAGTCTTAGGATTGGAATAGGGAGGTTCTGGTCCAGTATGTTCGGCAGTACTCTTCCAGGACTCACGGAGAGTTATTATCAAGCTACTATTTTATACATCTGACGTGCTTTAAAAAGTCTACTTGTCCCTGTGGTCATGCTTTCTGGTGGAACCTTGGTCGCGCTTTCTTGGCATTTTCTTGCTTTTTTTCTCAGAAGGACTGATGTCCAGTGGAAATGTGTACAACGTTGTACATCAGTAACTCGTTGTGCACATAATGTTATGTTTAATAGGGAGCAAAGACATTTTTTGATTGGCGGCGGTGAGACAGTGCTCTTTCGGATAACCAAGTAACTGTCTGACTGTAGAGCACAAAGATCAGCATGCTTGGAGTCTTTTCAGTCCCAGGGTTAATATCGACAGCTGAGAGAGAAAATAACCATCATCTCTGCACCAGAGAGCATCTGGAAGAATTGTAGTGATGTGAGAATGAATCACCTCTGGCACAAGAACACCTAAATCTAATCCAAGTTGGCTGTGAGGGTTCAGATAATTCCCTGCACCACAAAGAGCTACTTGATCGTGTTAGTTCACAATGCTTTCCTCACGCGGCAGCCAGTTCAGTTTGATAAGACTTCTCTTTTACTTTATTTGTTATTGAAAAAGCAATTCTGGCATCTCAAATGGAAGTAATTTTTTGGTTGAATGTGGTCTGGAATCGTGTGAAATGTCTCAATCTCTCTTTTTGTATCTGGACCCTTTTTTAAGTCTCCATGTAGCGGAACCTCATCATTTCCAGAATGTGTGCACGCTTCTGTGAATTGTACCTATGACACAGCAGTGTTCATCCCTCACAAAGCACGTGGATCTGCTGCAAATGAGCGTTATTGTGTGGTGCCCTGCTGAAAGGAAAGCTCCACCTGCTTGTTTGTCATGCCGTAGCTGCAGGATCATCATATTTAATTCATATTCCCCCTCTCTGCACGCAGCTGGCGACATGTCGGATGATGAAATCAAAGAGGAGGCGCTGGGATCGGCCAAGGCCTGTCTGAGTGGGAAAAGCACCCTGGAGAAAACAGCAATTATACACCAGCATCTTGGGGGCAGGGTCATGTCGGACATGGTCATTGAAACCATCAGCCCCGGCCAAGGTAGGGATTTCGGGATCTCTGAATATCGGGTGAATGTCTGGAAGGAGCACCTTTTTCCTCTCTCCGGGCAGGGACTTTTGTGATGCCCATGTTTGTTTGTTTTTTAACCTTTCAGATCAGAGTGATCCTGGGAGTGCGCCGAACTCCAGGGACGCGGAGGGCAACTCGCAGGAAAGTCCCGGCACTTCCGAAAAAAGCAAGACCGGGAAGGAGGCTGCGGGACAGGTCCCAGACTCTCCTTCCAAACAGCTGCCCGATCAGATTTCCTTCTTCAGCGGGAATCCTTCTGTCGAGATTGTCCATGGTATCATGCATCTTTACAAAACCAAGTAAGTGGTGGGCTTTCAGTTCTGCTTTTGCAAAATCCCCTTTGACCAGCGTTGTCCTATACGAGTCGCATGTGCAAACATCACTAGTTCTGTCAGCAGTTTTAGCAGAGTCGTGATCTGGACGTGATAAGCAGCATTAGAAGATGAATGTTTTAAAGTCAGTTTTGAAGAGAAAGGAGCTGGCATGTGAATTATATAACAATCAAGGAGAACTTTGTGCTCTAGGATATAGAACTGATTAAAGTCGTTTTCAGGGGACCCTAAGCCTTTTGTCTTTGGACAACTCTTGATTTTTTTGCTTGATAAGTTTCTGTGAATCATCTGCTTCAGTGTAGAACCATCAAAGAACATATCCAGTGCACAAGCGAATAAGAGTGATTTCAGAAAGAGCCTTGGTTTAAGAGATATTTAAAGAGTCCCATTCAGTAGTTCTCTTTACCACATTGACCACTGTGGTGCTGACCTCAGATGTCCTCAGAATCAAATTATAATGAATAAAATACTGTCAGTGTAATTTTAGAATTTGCTTTTTATATCTAAGTAACCTATTTTGTTTGTTTCATGGAGAAGCAGGCGTAGTTGATATGGAGGAGTTGAAAGAGCCCTTTGTCACTAATATCTAGAAAACCTCACTGAGCAAGAGTTTGGGCAGGAATTTTGGCAGATTTGTCTATATTCATTACAACTTCTGGAAGAGCTTTTGATATTCAGCTGTGCCATCTAGTGTACAGAAACCTAATCTCCAAACTTCCCGGCCAGTATAGTCAGTGAAAGCCTTACTGGTATGCACTCGTCTGCTAAAAATAGAACATTCAAGCTGCACACTCTTGGTTTTTTTCTTTTTCTTTTTTTGCCGATTTTTGTTTTTTTTTCTTGGTTTTTGTTTACCCCAAAGGCCATTTCCCTTTAGTTCTTTAGTTCCTTTCTTTCAGGATTAACTCTTCAAATATGATTTCGTACACTAACCCACAAATCCTCTTGACTGTCAGTAAGTAAAATCTCAAGTCTTCTATGACTGTCACCTAGGAACCACAGCCTGCACCAGGATTATAAATTTTATAAACATACAAGAACAAGGCTGAAGTTTGGATGAGCAGTCTTTTTATCAGTCACATTTATAGACAGGTCTATGATCATCTTCAGTCGCTGGCTGGTGTGTTAGTAACCAAATAACGGTTATGGCCGATGCAAACAGTAAGAACTTCCTATTATTTTGACTTTGAATAGACTTTTCTTATTATTTTGGTCAGCAAGTGTGTATTGCAAGATTAAATATCATTGATATCAGGTTAACAGGCAGGTTGAAAAGCCTTTTGTTTTGTGATCTCCTGACATTTATTGGAGTTTATTAGCAGCGGAGACCAGGGTGGAGAAGCATGTGGGAATTGGGACCCCTAACTGGAAGAGTGTAGTTTCAGGTCCTGGGTGGAGCTGTGCTGTTTTTCCCCTGAAGAAGATGCTTCAGTATAATGTCCAGCTTTATCAAAGGGTATAGACTAAATCACTTTGGGTAAAAGTGTCAGCTCACTAATTCAATTTCTCTGCATCCCTCGGGTTAATCATGTGCTCTCTGGCTCGTAGTAAGATGACGTCCCTGACAGAACACGTCCGCCGCAGTGCCATGCTCTGTATTCTTGCTGTCCCTGCCGCCATGACAAGCCACGACCTCATGAAGTTTGTAGCTCCCTTCAACGAAGTCATGGAGCACATGAAGATCATCCGAGACTCCACGCCCAACCAGTACATGGTCCTGCTCAAGTTCAGTTCCCAGGTAGATGGTGGAGCACTGACATGTCCTGCTATCCTGCTAAAAAATAGGAAAATCTGTTCTGAAAAGGGTGGAATTGTATTTTTTTTGCCCGCTGATCAAACAGTTTTGATTATTTACATCTTGACCATTTTTTTTTAATTTGGAATAGACAGTTATTTTATATGATACCCACCCAATTTGGATTACTTGTGCCGAGATGTATAGATGTGATGGAAACAGTGCAGACAGGCTCCTCTGAGCTGAGCTGAGCACATACAGGTGGGTCTGTGCCCAGTAGGAGAGGGGCATGTCCGTCGCTGGAGTCGCTGAAAGGCCGCAGGTCTCCCGAGGTGACACAGGGGGGCGCTGTTTCACTGGGAGACAAGAGAGCACTAGATGCCTAATCCCACCTCAAGCCCCAGCAGTCACATGTGCTTCCTGTGTTAAACATAGAGAACATAAGAAAAGCCTTTCTAAGTAAAAAAAACTAAACGGGCGTGGGGAAATGTGCAGTATTTTCCAGAATCCCTCTCCTTGCTCAGTCTTGGCCACAGATGGTGTATATATTGTACAAACACAGGTTGTGGGTGTGTTGTGCCTGTATGACTTTGAAAGCCTCACACAGTGTTGCTCCCTTTGTGGCAGTTACATAGTGTTTCTATAGGGTTTTCTGTCACATGACGTGCCTTTAAACATACCTTTGGACAATTGTCTCCCAGTTAAGAGCAGTCAGTGTGTGCTAACTGATGAGAAATGTGTGATTTTTCACAGAAATGCTCAGCTGCTGTGTGTTCTGCCTCATCAGTCCTTCAAGGGCACTACAAGATGTTGATCACTAATCAATCCATTTGTTTCACATTTGAATCCTGCAATTTTCCAGTTGATACACATTATCATTAGGTGTTTATTTTCATCTTTTGCAGCACCAGATATCTGTTTAATATTCTTTTCAGCAGAATGAAATTTGACGGAGTATTAAATATAATATATAGTCTGAATATAGTATTAGAGTATTACAGGCTAACATATTCAGAATTATGGGTTATAAAGATAAAATCATCCTGTACCCAGAGAACAATGAATGAATGTGCCAAATTAGGGTCTAGTGAAGACAAAATGATTGCTGATTGCATGTTGTATCAGTACTGGGGCACAAGGGCTTGGAAATCAAACATCAGTTTGATTAAAACCCCCCTATTCTGTGTCAGATCGCTGTGTTGCATTAAATTCTTCGTGCTGTATAAGAGAATATCCTTGTTTTAAAGCCATTACTGTCTCTTAGTCTTTACCAACAATTTTAATTTTTAATGTAAAAAAAAATGGATGACAAGATGGCACAGTAGTTAGCATTGCTGCTTCTTATCCCTGGGGCATGGGTTCACTTCTGAACCTGGGGTGCGATCTGTGTGGAGTTTGCATGTTCTCTCTGTGTTCTCGTGGCTTTCCTCTGGGTGGTCCAGTTATCTTCCGCAGTCCAGAGACATGCTGGGAGGTTAATAGGCTTCTGGGATAATTGGCCCTGGTGCGTGTGTCTGTGTCTGTGTGCCCGGCGATGAACTGGCGTCCCGTCCAGGGTGTATCTTCCCTTGTGCCCATTGCTGAATAGGGTCTGGCTCCTATGTGACCCTGAATTGGTTAAAGCTGTTAGAAAATGGATGGATTGAAGAAACGAAACAAAAACTAAAGAGGATTGTTTTACATGGATTTGTATTTTTAAAATTAATTTGACGTTTAAGCCATGAACATTATGCAGCACGAGTTTCATGCAGACAGCTGAGACATTTCCCAGCCTGTAAGTGAGCAGTCCGATACGCTGTCATAAATGATCTCTGCAGTGCTTCCTAATAGTCTCTCTGTTCTTTGCCAGTGTGGCTATTTCCACTGTGGCACTAGTCAATTTTTAATTATGCTTTTCCTTTTACAGGCGGATGCAGACAGCTTTTACACGAACTGTAACGGGCGCCAGTTCAACTCCATTGAGGATGCGGTCTGCCAGCTGGTCTATGTGGAGAGGGCAGAAGTCATTAAATCTGAAGAGGTACCTACCTTGGCAGCACAGCAGCTGGCTTAACCCTGGCTGGGGCTGGCGAGTGACATGACCCAGGTTTGAACTCGCAGTGTCTGGGACAAAGAGCTCCTCCCAGATGCAGTGGCTGAGCCACTTCACAGCCCTGGGCGTTACATTTTTATATGGCCCTAATATGATCTCTTGTTTTTGGAATCGATATGCAGCACGTTTTGAAAGAGGAATGGAGAGTTCTATTGAAATGACTCCAAATGATAGTGTCTTTGAAAATTTTATTATTGACAACAAATAATTATTTGTGGATAGAATTACAATAAGGAAACAGAGGTAAAATATGTATTCATGATCTAGATCAGCGCAGTAGTTTTACATTTGTACAAATTAAAAATGTCCAGAATATAGTAATAATACAATTCACAAATGCGATATACTGCTAACCCTGTAGAAGTAAATATGAATTCATATGAATTAGTCCCTCCTGCATGTTTGAATACAACCCAGTGAAGGGAGGACATAGGTTTCACCTCTATCACCAGTGTCCAAGGCCCCTCAAAATATGGTGACTTAACGCAGGACTCCAGCAGAGCCTTTGTTCTCTTCCTCCAGGGAGCCAGCCTGCCTGTTATGGACCTGACGGAGCTCCCCAAGTGCACGGTGTGCCTGGAGCGCATGGACGAGTCCGTGAACGGTGTGCTGACCACACTCTGCAACCACAGCTTCCACAGCCAGTGCCTGCAGCTCTGGGAGGACACTACGTGAGTGTGCCCCGCCCCGCCCCGCCCTGCCCCGCCCGGCCCCTCCCGCCAACTACACTTCTGCCCAGAGCTGATCTCCTTGCCCACACTGCCTAGTCTGTTAAATACCTTGATCATCTGAGTGAGCTGTAGGTTTTGCTGGACCTTTATCTAAAATATTGTTAGTGGTTTCTTTGGGATCAATACTAAATACTGAAAAAATATATTAGGGTTCTCAGTTATGCATCTTGTTTTCATCCGGGTTTGCTGACTTTGAATATTTCTCATCTGTTCAGTCCATCTATCATCGGATCACGGCTAGTCATTGACTAGATTAGTACCTTCCTTGAAACGCAAGTTCACCGTTCAACATGATAACGACCCAAAGCACATGGCCAAAGCTACAGTGCAGTGCAGTGGCCCAATCTAAATCCAGTCGAAAATATATGGCATGACTTGAAGATTGCTGACCATCAGGGCTCCACAAGGAACTTGACAGAACTTTAAACAGTTTTGTAAAGACAAATGATCTAAAAATGACAAGTCTAGGTTTGTAAAGCTGGTAGAGACCTGTCCCAACAGACTCGTAGCTGTAATCACTGCCAAAGGTGCTTCCACCAAGTATTAACTCACAGGAGTGGAGACTCATCCAATTATGATATTTCAGTTTTGTGTTTTTAATATAGAATATTTTCACATTAGAAACATTTTTCCCTTTAAAAGTAAGACGTATGGTGTGTAGATAAGAGGAAACTTCCTCATTTAAATACATTACATTGTGGAAGAAAGTTCAAGGGGGTGTGGACTTTCTATAGGCGCTGTATTTGTTTCCTTAGCTGTAAGCAGATACCAAGCAGTCTGCAGTATTTTGTGCAGTGTAATGCCCAGTTTGTGGAGTTTTCAAATGATTTTGCATAGTACTGTGTGTAAAGTAGTGCTCTTCGGTTCTAGCAAGAAGAAAAATGTATTACCCTGACTACAAACCCTTTTAAGGTGGTGGGAGAACTAGAGCCTATCCCGACAAGCAGCGGGCGCAAGGCAGGGTGCCAGTCCACTGCAGGCCACACACAGACACACACAGGCTAATACCAGGATCGCTTTTCCCAGGAACCAGATAACCTACCACTATGTCTTCGGACTGTGGGTGGAAACCAGAGCACCTGCTAAAAACCCTTGAGAACATGGAGAGGATTTACAGCATCCCGGGTCCTGAATGAACCCAGGGCCCCTGTGCGCCAGTGCTTACCACTGTGCCATTGTGCCGCCCAGAGATAAACGATCTGCAGAAGCTGGGATATCCTGTCAGCACGGATGGTGCAGCCTGTTGAGAGGAATCTGCAAGGGTTGGAGTAGAATCTGTGTAATTAACATCACTGTTGTTTTCCCAGGTGCCCTGTGTGCAGGTACTGCCAGACTCCTGAGCCAGTGGAAGAGAACAAATGTTTCGAGTGTGGCGTTCAGGAGGTACGGTAAATAAAAATCAGAAATTGCAAGATAAAAAGCATCAATAAAATAATATTTGACCAATTGTTGCTTTTTTCTAGATGCACATTTAGGTTTTTAGGTAATTGCACTTGCCATGTGGGATTAAAACATGTGTTTCCCTACAGGAAGGCCCCTAAGTCTTTAGATCACACCCAGCGCAGTAAAGAGCTCACAGATTATTGAGAAAGATTATTGCAGTGATTTGTCTGAGTCTGTTTGTTTTTGACCTTCTTATAATCCCTGGATATTTCGTTTGTTCACGAGCTATTAGCTGTCTGTGCGTTGAGTGTTACAACAAGATCTACAGCAGGAGGGTGTTCACAGTCTTCAGACATCTATGCATAATGTAGTTCTGCAGCTGTCTGAAGTATGGAAAGTAACAGAATACCTGTTTTACCAAGGAAAAAAAAACTATTTTCAACTCTTTGAAAAATGATAGACTATTTTCATGTATTATTGATGTGCATAAGAGTTCCACTTGGTGAATCTTGGTGAACAAGGCCCCCATTATGAGTTCAGTTTGGACTGAAGGCCAGGGAACTCCGATTCGGATTTGGGCTCTGCTGTTCATGGATCGTGAATCCTCAGGTGTTCAGTGAGGCGGAATTGTACTGAGCACTGCTGAGGTCAGCTGGCTCCGTCTGGCTTTCTGTGCAGCGGCTGACTGACTGTTTCGGTCCTTCGCGCTGATGCCAAGCCCCGCTCGTCATGCTGTGGGCTTGTGCACGTTTCCTTCATCTCTGCTCCGGGCTGTTAGCGCTGC